GACAAAAGCATTGTTCTTGTATCTCTGGTTCTTCATTTCGATGATTAATTTCGAGCCTGTGATAGCATCAGTATTACATACCGTTGAAACTATCAGCTGGATTGTGTGACGTCAAGCATGATGCAGGATTCATTTCATTGCTTTATGTATCATTACATACATGTTGCACTAAAGACTACCATGTATCTTTAGTTCTTCAGGGGCGGTTGGGTAGCCTAGTGGTTAAGGCGTTCGCTCGTCACGCCGAAGATCCGGGTTCGATTCCCCACATGGGCACGTTGTATGAAGCCCATTTCTGGTGTCCCCCGCTGTGATATTGCTGGAATATTGCTAAAATCGGCGTCAAACTAAACTCACTCCTCTCACTCTAGTTCTTCATGTCGATCTTGACAGCATCAATATCACATAACGTAACGTCGTTTCTTTACTCAATGCATTATTACATACAGCGTTACTATTCTTGCCGTCTCCATTCTAATGTCTTGGCATTCTGACAAAAACAACTACGTCATACATGCATTCTGATGCCAGTCTGATAAAACTTACCTGTATTCTTGTCAAGTGTGATCCACTAACATATACTCCAAAAGCTACAGCCCTTCTTTTTACATATTACGGCTATTCAGGTACGATCTGATATGCTCTTTGCACCACGATTCCAACGAGCGCCATACCAGAGCTGCTCAGAAGTTGTTCTATCACTGCTCGAACATTAAAGCACCCAGTAACACATTAAGAAAGCTGTATTTATTGTAGACCAGTGGAAAACATGGTAAAATCTGACGTATCGGTAAAGATGCAATCTCCTCTTTTGACTTTTGAGGAAAGGCCTTTGTTGCTTTTATTGAAGACCCTTACTGGTCTGGAACTGAATTATACAAACAATGTTTGCGTCCCCAGTTGTGTTTTTTGCATACATCAATGTTTATGGAACTGTTAATATGATTAATATCCAGATAGGATAATTATGTCAATGCCTGTTTTATCTGCAATCAAACAAGCCCCATATAAATAATAACTAAAGATGGTCCAAGATCTGATGTCTGAGGAGATTAATATTAATCTAAAGTATCAATGGCTCAAGAAACTATTGGTATTTGAAGATCATTGCACGGCGACCTGACCTGTTCACATGGAATCTAGACTCAGCTATGAATTGTGTACCGGCCCATTCTCGTCTTCTGAACCTAAGATACGGTCTTCACCCTGCTAGACCTGCCTGTCCAACGTGGATACAACATCGGTCGAACAGCTGGTGTACAGTTCTCCCGACGTCGACAATCACCCTGGTGCAAGTACTTCCATGATAACGTCTCCAGAGATGATGCTGTATTTTGATGACCAAACCAGGTCGGACAACATCTTCACCATTCCAGGAGGCAACATACCCATGGTGCTTAGAGCGTTGTTTGTAAGCAAGCCGTGGCATTGGCTAAGCATCTTTTACTGTTGAAGAGCACCTGATGCCTGAACAATGATCGCATTCACTATACATATATTCTATGATATAATAGACAAGAGGTACACTGTAATTTAATACAAAACATGTGTACTCCAACCTTAGATACACGAAAGATACGTTGCTTTTAGCAATATTCAAGTAATATCACGAATGGGTTTAAACATTTTACTCATGTAGGGACTCGAACCTGGGTCTTCAGCATGACGAGTAGAAACTTTAACCATTAGGCTACCCTACCGCCCCCTGTAATGTAATGCACGACATATATCCTGACAGTAATACATAAAGGACCCTGTTATGTATTATACAATAAAAGTAACAAGGTCTTATTTTGGGGTTCAACTACATCCGGCATTCGAACCCACACTTTCAGAGTCAGGCACCTAATCGCCAGCTCAAAGTCACCCGTCTAACGTATTTAGCCACCGCAGCTTCCACAAAAATGGAAGTCAGACAATTGGTAGTCGAAACCTAGGACTTTGTGGGGTCTTCCCACTTACCCAACTCCTATTGTTTCAGTAGAAGAAATCACTTGGGTGTGATAATCCCCTTTAATCCCTTATCTGGTTCCCTGTGAAATAGTATCCGGGGCCAAATGGGATAAAATGCTACTACGTTTGATTCAATGTTTGTCTGTATTTATTAATTACATATACAAGTTATCCATGTATACAACTTAATACAACATCAACATCATATCACATATTATACATCAATATTTCACAACACAACTTTCACACTTACCAGTTAAATGTGATACTGAGTCTCTTGTACATTTCCAAGGCATGGTTCAGTGCAACTTCTCTTCCTAGGTGGAGGTCTGGCACCGTTTCTTAGCTGAAGAACACATACCTCCACCCAGCCTTGTTCCTTCTTTAAAAAGCCAATGGCCTTAATGTCTGGGTGGAAGAAAGTCCTTCGTCTGGTCTTGATACTGAGTCCCTAGTGTAGTGATCTACCTTCAGTTGTTGACAATATGTAGCCTGTTTTGATATTGTATTGTCCAAATAGTGCTATTAGTTTTAACTTTCCACACTAGATTTAATTGTAATTGTGATATTCTAGTTGTTTTACTGGCCTTTGACGACAGGGTTATATAATATACACATATTCCATTTCAACATCAAACATGTTCTCGTCACGATATGGCCGAAATATTGCCGATGTGACATTAAATATTAACTCACTCACTCACTCTTGATACTGAACTTACAGCCCCTGTAGACCAAGTACTGACCGCCGTGACCATTGGGAATGAAGTGTTTACGTGAAAGTTTGCCATAGTGCAATGGAGAAACAAGGAAATCTCCATACTATATAATACTTGTATTTGGCATAGTTCACTTAATTAAAATTCAATTTGTAGCAAATGATATGAATATGGTTCATATAGTTTATCTTGTAAAATATGTTCACCGGTGGTCATGGGGTTGCTCTGATCGGCCCTGATTGGAGTGCTGGGTGAACTTATGTCACAACCATAGCAGGGGTAACAAATTCACCCTGCACAATCGTAACTGTTAATCTCTTTTAATCCTCCCAGCAAGTTGGGTAAGTGGGAATGAGCCGACTTTGTTCACTCCTCTGATAAGTGTATATTGGCACGTATCCAGCTGTCAATACCCCTCTGTGTACTCAACCCTACAAATGTCCTAGAATCTGTACCTCACTGAGAAAGTGTAATCCCAACTAAAACATTCTTTTAGCAGAGATTTCTTATGAATGCGGAAAACAGGTTTGCTCGCTTCCGTTTACAATATATTTGCTGTAAAGGAAGTTGCTTTGAAGAGTTCGGGTGATCAACAGCATGAGCATCGATCTACGCAAGTGGGATACGGTGATGTGTGTCAACCAAGTCAGCGAGCCTGACCACCTGTTCCCGTCAGTCGCCTCTTAGGACAATAATGGGTTGCGGAAGACAGAGTCTAAGACCAGTTGTTTTCCGGGACAAGCATGGGATGCTGAAGACCAATTCAAAGGCCAATTATTTCCGGGACAAACATGAATGGCTGAAGACTAGATTCTAAGGCCAATTATTTTCCGGGACAAACATGAATTGCTGAAGACCAATTCTAAGGCCAATTTGTTTTCCGGTCGGGAGAGAGAAATGGGGACTTAATAACTGTGGAAAATCCAATAAAATAGATTAGCCCCCGGGTTGTTAGTAAGTTCTTGCTATGTTGTTTGTGAAGATGTACGACACATGGGTTGCTGAAGACCAATTCTAAGGCCAATTGTTTTACGGGACAAACATGAGTTACTGAAGACCAATTCTAAGGCCAATTGTTTTCCGGTCGGGAGAGAGAAATGGGGACTGAATAACTGTGGAAAATCCAATAAAATAGATTAACCCCGGGTTGTTAGTAAGTTCTTGCTATGTTGTTTGTGAAGATGTACGACACATGGGTTGCTGAAGACCAATTCTAAGGCCAACTGTTTTACGGTAGGGAGAGAGTAATGGGAACTTAATAACTCTGGTAAATTCAACAAAATAGATTAGCCCCCGGGTTTTAAGTAATTTCTGTGACGATGTACCGTAGATACAGAAGCCTTATCTCGTGACATGAACAGGTCATTCACTCTTGTGACAGTCCGAGACAGTATCAACTTTGTCAAGTCACACACTAAAATAATTTACTGGTTATGTTGATTATCATTATGGCCTACAACATTATTCACTCGCTCACAGAATTACTGAAAAAATATGAAATTCTATTGTCAGTTATATGGCATTTCATTTCACCATTTTTACTTATTATTCGCCTCAGCTGGGATTCTTTAAATATTCTCATCATGCCAAGTTTGATTGAGGTTGCATAAAAGCGTCAGTTATTTTAATTTGTGTGTGGCATTCTATTGTGTAGTCCGTATGTCATGGGATGGTTGGACACGGGAAGGAAACACGGCAAGGAATGTGACATACTAGCATGTTAATGGAAGTATGGCTCCAGTACACCCCAGACTGGTTGTTGACCAGATAACACTTGGTAACATGTGTGTAGAATATGTGGCACTAGGTTAACGCCGTCAGCGGTAACATATATCAGATAACCTATATTCTCAACCTGCTGTGAACACCTTTCAGTTCGAAACATTTTACTCTGATAATCTATTTATGTATGTGCGTGCGTATGTGTATCTCTGCTTGCTTACAGTACTACCCACTGATATACCACTATGCACTATAGACCGCCTCCGTGGTGTAGTGGTTAGAGCGTCCACCCGGAGAGCGGAAGGTCGCGGGGTCGATCCCCGACCGCATCATACCAAAAGACGTTAAAATATGGTACTTGTTGGTCCCTGTCTGGCGCTCGGCATTAATGGGTACAACAAGGACTGGTCGGCTCGAAGTCAGTATAATGTGTCTGAGTGGGGTATTCATGCTTCACTGCGGCATGGTATCTCAGTCTGGGCCAGTACAAGCAGCCGCACATACACATACACACCCATGCACGTCGTCGTATGAGCGAAATATTCTCAAGCACGACGTTAAACCCAATTTCACCTCACCTCACCTATGCAATATATAACGCCACACTCAGACATAGTACAGTGCCATCGAGCTGACATTTCCATGCAGGATAACATCAAGAGACTTCTTCTCGTCTTCTGGCATGAGGCACGTGGGGCTGAAACACCGACCTTGGACAACCTCGATTGGCAACACTGTATCCATTAGACCACCTCTGAACTGCAAAAAAATTGGGAGTAAAAACGGTTTGACCAATATCTGGTCTGAAGACACACCCCTCATTGGTCTATCCTGGTTGTATCAGTGATTGGTCAGTGCCCTCAGGGTCGGCCTTGGCATTGTACGTGAGCTTACACGCGTGTTATGTGAATATATAGAACGTCATACAATGTTTTATATTGAAGATGTCATAGGAGTAGAGAAACAACGAGTTCGAAGGACGAGTTCTTTCTCTGCTCCTATGACATCTTCGAGTTCAATACAAAACATCCAAATGCACTAACATGACGTTCTATATTTATTATATAACCTCTTATTTTGCATTAATCTATTACTGAATAAAACAAAACATGGCGTAACGATACATATTTTCACGCCTCTCGATACTTCCGCATTCAGGTTAGTATGACATTTAGTATAGGTCTGCGTGTGGGCGGATCAATACGGAATCTGGGGTGTAATACGGATTTTCACCACGTCATCCGTATTGCACCCCTGTATCACTATCGTAAGTTTACATGGGTATATAATGAAACACGTGTTTCAGCGTGCAGCTTGTCTGACCATGGTCTTTCTGTCATCGCTTGTTTTCAATTCTTCCACATCTAACATTAAACATTACTGTCAAATACTTCAAAGTATGATATAAGTTTAGCCATATCTCTCGACAGTATAGTGAAAAACATGTTGGGTCAATCTACCTAGATTTGAGTTAGCAAACTGTACAATTAAACAACTAACAACTGTTCACCTCTCAGAGAAACATCATGTCTTCAGTATTCGTCAGTTTTAAGCGAATTTGTATTTCAAGTCTTTATTTTTCAGACTGCTAAGCAACTGAACTCTAAATGTATGGTAAATATGAGAATGTCTTATCCAAATTTAAAGCATTATCGACAAAAATGATCTCCGATGCAAGTCTGTAATGATGATGATTTGGAGATTGTACGTGCGCTTTCCAACATGATGCGTACATGTTTTTACTTTTCGAACCTACTTTCATTGACAGCAAATAAACCATCTCGGCGAATTACAGCATATCTGATCGTGAGACAATCCTCGCCACCGGAATGTCAACGATACAACTTAATACGCTAATAGTTTCTTTCAATGTTTGTTTCCTATATTCGGCGAGTAAAGTCTTCTGGGTATTTCTCTTTGACGCATACTGTGGTGATAAAACAAATAAGGCGACCAAACATAAGAGAGTTATTTCCCTTTAATACAAACACCACATCAGTCATTATCACATCAAGTATAACCTAGCCATTCCTCGTCACGATGTCATCTATCCAGTCAATGAAGGAGGAAACCCGGGTGTACACCCCGGGGGCGTTCTTCTCCCCACACCCGATCCCCCAGGACACCACACCCACTATCTTCCAGACACCACCCTTCCTGCACACAAGTGGGCCGCCGGAATCTCCCTGAAACACCATCAGTGTTATGCAGAGACACACGGTTTGTTTAGGTGTTGTTAAACGCCATACTAAATATTCCAGCTATATGACGGTCCTCGGTATATAATTGAATCTGAACCAGACAATCCAGTGATCAACATCATGAGCATAGATCGATGCAATTGGGATACGATTGCCAACCGAGTCACCGAGCCTGACTACACGATCCCGTTAGTCGCCTCTTACGACAAGTATAGGTTGCTGAAGACCACTTCTAACCCGGACCTTCACGGGTCTGGAGACGCATGAACACGACATGCCTCTTTTGTGATGCATATACTGTTACTGGCACGTGAAGGTCATCAGTGGGTTCCTGACACCTGGCACTTGGTCTGACACTTGTCACTGTTTGACACTTGGCATATGGTCTTGAACCAAGGCTCACCTGACACGCGTCCTTGCCGCCCTGCGAATATCCGGCGCAGATGTTGGAGGCGTGGATGTGGCTGCCCATGTAGTAGGCGCACAACTTGTTGTTCATGATGGGGACATCAACTTCCTGCAGGTAACGCTGGATGTGACCCTCTGGAGCAAAGCAAGACGTATGAGATGAAATATTTATCATTACTTGTTAATGAATACAGCTATCTGTTCAACAGAGTCCCTATTATAAAACGCCATACGTGTCTGCAGAGACGCCCACATTCCAGGCAGTGATGACGTAGAATTACACCACTCACACAATCTCATTAACATATCACGTGACTTTACGCTTTTCTTGTAAACTGGGAATTATTGTAGCTTAGAATTACCTAGTTACTGGAATAATGTTAGCTTTAGAGCTAAATGTAAACATTGTTATAAGGGAATTCCCCAGTCTCTTAACCCGGTTGAGTATTCTACAAAGCGATCTTATCAAACGCAGACTTATCGCTTTGTGAAGCGGGACCAAGGACCTGGGTGTAGTAATGTATGTGCCTGTCAAGTATACAGTAGACACCCGGTGTTTACCCGAGTACGCGGCGCCCCATCCTGTGACTGTGCAAACCAACCCATCAAACGTCTCGTCTCTGTCCGGTAAGCAGGCTGTCCTTGTGTCCTTGTGTTGGGTGTCCACCCTCTTGGCTAGCTTGACGATGGCGACGTCGTTGGAGTTGGTGCTGGAGCTGTACCCAGCGTGTGTGAACACACGGGCAGCATCGATCACCTGGCTGTACTGGACGTTGTAGATGTCGTGAAGGCCGATGGCGACTGTCCAGTAGTTGCCGTAGGTTCTGTAAACAGTTTTTAGGGAGCAATGTTTTATGCCGCTTTGTTAATAATACAGTTGAACAAAGTATGATGCTCTTTAAGTTATGCTGTTCAGTGTCTTGTCTTATTTCCGCAAACATCTAACAAGAAACTGATTGCTGTTCACAGTAAGTATGAGAGGTATCAAAACATAGTAACCACCTCTAAACCTCGACATTGTCATTTTAAGCGTGTGTGTGTTGTCGGCATATAACAGGATTGAAAGTTGAAGCACAGAGCAATTCTGCATTGCACTGTTGTGCCAACGCTCATATTGAGGCTGGAAATAGGACATCAGAGTGGGCGAAAATAATAAAGCTCTCTTGAAAACTAAACTTGAAATGCACTCTCTCAGATGATTTCTGCCGTATATTTTCTTATTTAGAAGCGATGAATACACAATGAGAACTTTTAGAAACGATGAAAAGACAATGGCAACTTTTAGAAACGATGAATACCCAATGACAACTTTTAGAAGTGATGAATACACAATGACAACTTTTAGAAGCGATGAATACACAATGACAACTTTTAGAAACGACGAATACACAATGGCAACTTTTAGAAACGATGAATACAAATGGCAACTTTTAGAAATGATGAATACACAATGACAACTTTTAAAAGTGATGAATACACGATGATAACTTTTAGAAGTGATGAATACACAATGACAACTTTTAGAAACGATGAATACACAATGACAACTTTTAGAAACGATGAATAACAATGACAACTTTTAGAAACGATCAATACACAATGGCAACTTTTAGAAGTGATGAATACACAATGACAACTTTTAGAAACGATGAATACACAATGACAACTTTTAGAAACGATGAATACACAATGGCAACTTTTAGAAACGTTGAATACACAATGGCAACTTTTAGAAACGATGAATACACAATGGCAACTTTTAGAAGTGATGAATACACAAAGGCAATTTTTAGAAGTGATGAATACACAATGGCAACTTTTAGAAATGATCGAAAGACAATGGCAACTTTTAAAAACGATCAATACACAATGGCAACTTTAAGAAACGACGAGTACACAATGGCAACTTTTAGAAACGACGAATACACAATGGCAACTTTTAGAAACGATGCATACACAATGGCAATTTTTAGAAACGATGAATACACAATGGCAACTTTTAGAAATGATGAAAAGACAATGGCAACTTTTAGAAACGATCAATACACAATGGCAACTTTTAGAAACGACGAGTACACAATGGCAACTTTTAGAACACACAATGACAATTTTAAGACGCGATGAAAAGACAATGGCAACTTTTAGAAACGACGAATACACAATGGCAACTTTTAGAAACGATCAATACACAATGGCAACTTTTAGAAACGACGAATACACAATGGCAACTTTTAGAAGTGATGAATACACAATAGCAACTTTTAGAAGTGATGAATACACAATGGCAACTTTTAGAAACGATGCATACACAATGGCAACTTTTAGAAATGATGAAAAGACAATGGCAACTTTTAGAAATGATGAAAAGACAATGGCAACTTTTAGAAACGATCAATACACAATGGCAACTTTAAGAAACGACGAGTACACAATGGCAACTTTTAGAATCGTTGAACACACAATGACAATTTTAAGACGCGATGAATACACAATGGCAACTTTTAGAAGTGATGAATACACAATGGCAACTTTTAGAAGTGATGAAAAGACAATGACAACTTTTAGAAACGATCAATACACAATTGCAACTTTAAGAAACGACGACTACACAATGACAATTTTTAGACGCGATAAATACACAATGATAACTTTTAGAAACGACGAATACACAATGGCAACTTTTAGAAGTAATGAATACACAATGGCAACTTTTAGAAGTGATGCATACAAAATGACAACTTTTAGAAACGATGAATACACAATGGCAACTTTTAGAAGTGATGAATACACAATGACAACTTTTAGAAGTGATGAATACACAATGGCAACTTTTAGAAGTGATGAATACACAATGGCAACTTTTAGAAACGATGAATACACAATGTCAACTTTTAGAAGTGATGAAGACACAATGACAACTTTTAAAAGCGATGAATACACAATGACAACTTTTAGAAACGACGATTACACAATGGCATCTTTTAGAAACGATGACTACATAACCTTTAGAAACGTTTTCAATGTTTTGGTCGCATCCATTTTTCAAATCTATGCTTTCACTTACTGTTGGAAGCAATGGGCCGCTGTAAGGACCCACTGGTCGTCGATGAGGGTTCCACCACACAGGTGCTGACCATTGTACCGCAGCGACACCTGGCGGACAAAGGATGACGTACACATGGACTGTTTAGTTTTACAGTATCCCGTGTGGGAAGTCCTAGTTAGAACAGGTCACCAGTTAGAACAGGTCACCAGTTAGTACAGGTCACCAGTTAGTACAGGTCACCAGTTAGTACAGGTCACCAGTTAGACCAGGTCACCAGTTAGTACAAGTCACCAGTTAGACCAGGTCACCAGTTAGTACAAGTCACCAGTTAGACCAGGTCACCAGTTAGTACTGTTAGAAAGGATTTGATTTGTTTCGCTTTAGTTATTTTATTCCGCTGACCATTCCCACTTTTCAATTAAAGGTTCCAGTTTTAGTAGATTTGTTTTACAAGATGGCAGCCTCCATGTAACCAACTGCTGCCATGTGCTCTGAAATAAAACACTTGGAATAACGAACAGACACTTCTTTTCATGGTCCCGCGAGGCGGATAAGTTGCCAGATGGATGGAAGAACACTGTCCCGTGTCTTTAGTGATGAATCACTATTTTCCAACATGGATAGACTAACCAACCCAGTCTCCCATGCAGTTACCAATAGCATCACGAAGACAACCCCAATCTGGACATCAACGGTGACAACCTCCACTACAATTGCCCAAGGTTTCATTCAGAGTACTGTGCCTTTACGTCAATCCTCACGAGAGAGACATTTACCTAACCATTTGACAGATTATGTGTTAGACCTCCCAGGTGGCAGAAATATAGAAACGTCCGTTCACTCAGTGGATAAGCCTGATGATTGCCAAACTAAACACTCCGTGAGAACCAGAACTTCAAATGTGTCCAGACATTCAAATATGTCAAATGTGTCACTAAACTCCAAACTAAGTGATCTTCAATCAGCAGAGTTAACCAGACAGAGGAGACAACTAGAGTCAGCTGAACTAAAGAGACAGGCTGTGGAAGATGACAAGGTTGATGAAGAAATGAGGCTATTAAATGATAAAGCATATTTGGCTCGTGTGGAAGCAGAGGAGGAAATGCTGAAGGCTCGAAAGAGAGCAGAAGAGATTGAACGTTTGGTGATAAGACAGCGTGAGAAACGAAATACGGAGCTGAGTAGACAACGCAGGATCCGTGAGGCAGAGAATTCCTTAAAGGAAGCAGATCTTTTGGCATCCATGATAGGAATGGGTTTGAATCCTTCAACTGCAGTAACCACTTCCACCACTATTACCTCATCACCACAAGGTCAACATACTGTAATGACGAATGTTGGAAACCGGGTCAAACAAGACAAAGTTGTTATCAAGACAGAGAAGTCTGACCAAGAGGTGAATCCTTCCACTCTGTTTTCTGTTGAGAATACCATGCCTGTACCATGTGAGAAGAAAACCTGTGTAAAACATGATGAGCCAGCCTTGCCACTGAACATAGCTGCTGAGCCATTCCAAGGTGCTCCAGTTCACCCACCTTCTGGAGGTGCACCCTTTGTACCAGAAACGTCTGGTACACCAAGTTTCCCGCATGGATATGGTCCACCTATGACGCCAAACATGACAGAACTTTTGATTTCGTCGTCATATGGGATTCCACGGCCTACACTGCCTTTATTCGATAGTGAGAAGGAAAAAGACTTTGCTATTCTCAAAATGGCCCTGGATAATCTGGTCAATGTCCATACTCATTTAACTGAACAGTATAAGTATCAGTTGTTGCTTGATAGACTGGGTGGAAGAGCTAAACATTTAGCAGAGGCATATATGTATGCACCACAGCCTTACTCTGAAGCCTTTGAAGCCCTCAAGAACAAGTATGGTCAGCCTCGCCAGTTAGTTCAAGGAGAGCTTGGAGCAATTTTGAGTATGCCTTTCGTAAAGTTTGGAGATAATGAGGCATTTGAGAACTTTGCCCTCGCTGTACATTCCCTGGTTGGGATGTTGAAGTCTCTCGAGGGTGACAGTTGTGCAGAGTTACAGTGTGGTTCTCATGTGGACAGACTGTTAAGTAAGCTACCAATGAGTTTAAAAGACAGTTTCATCGAACATTGTATCAAGACGGGTGTGATAGGGGAGCACTCAAGTCAAACCTACACACTTTCTCAGTTTAGTCATTGGCTTCAGATTAAATCTCAAGCTAGACGTCTATCCGGTCAAGTCAGCTCATCATATCATAACGATGGCAACCGACCAGACAGTGGTAACAAAGCCTTGAACATTGGTCGATTCAGACGTGTACAACCACGGAAAAGTGAACCAACAATGATGACCAGTTTCCATACGCGATCTGACTCACGAAACCCAAGTATCCATGCTCCTACACCCAGTACAAAGGGTAGGGATGAAACAAAGGTGATGACCAGGTTCAGGGCCTACTGCCCTTACTGCTCTTCCTCAGAACACTATTTGAACTCTTGCAAGGAGTTTGAGAAACTCTCATTGGACCAAGTTGTCAGTTGGATGAAAGAGGGGAATGGGTGCTCGAAGTGTGCACGTACTCACAAAACGGTAGACTGTACACTCAGGAAAGTGTGCCACACCTGCCAAGAACTGCATTTGACTGTCCTCCATGATGCAGTTAACATGGTTAAAGCCCAAACTAACAAGGTATATTCAGTCATAGCAGAGAAACCAGCGGTTTATGTTGACCAACCCTCCAAACCATGTTCTGTTATGTTGAAAGTTGTGGGAGGTTGTCCTCCATGGTCCAGGTGGTAGGATGGAAACATATGCTGTCCTGGATGATGGGTCACAGCGAACTATGATTTTGACAGCAACTGCGGAAAGGCTTAAACTCTGTGGTAGAACAGATGAAATCCTCCTGTCCACAATTAGGCATGAATCTTACCATTGTACAGGGAAGAGTGTCAACCTTTCCATATCACCAGGTGACTCTCCACAGATTCAGTATCCTATATCAAATGCCTTCACATCACCTTCACTCTGCCTCTCAGAATACACCTATCCAGTGAATGATTTGCAGGTTAGATGGCCACATTTGAGAGATTATCCCCTACCCTCAATCTGCAATGCACAGCCTGTGATTTTGATTGGTTCGGACTATGCAGACCTGATTCTCCCGCAGGAACCTGTGCGCTTTGGGCCCAAGGGAGCACCAGTCGCTGTACATACACGACTAGGCTGGTCTTTACAAGGCCAAGCAGACATGCACTTATCGCGGATGTCACAGACAGCTGAGCAGTGTTTACTCACTTCCAGTGTTCACCGTGATCCAGAACTTTGGAGTAATGTTGAGAAACTGTGGCAGATAGATGCTGTTCCCAATGGAACAAAGGATGTGACCAGGTCAAAGCAGGACAAGCAAGCTTTAGAAACTTTAGAGACGTTCACAGAAAGAGTGGAGATGTATGAAGTAGTACGCTATGTAACACCCCTGTTGAGGATTAGAAATGGAGTTTCACTTAATGCCACAGTAGAATCTGTGACACAGAACCTCATCCGCACAGAAAGGCGACTTCAGTCAAACCCTGAACTAGCTTACGTACACAAGGACGAGATCCAGAAATTGGTAGATGCTGGTTATGTGAAGATGATCAGCCCTGAAGAGGCTGAGAAAAGTGATGAATCTTGGTACATTCCACATCACATTGTACAGCACAATGGAAAGAATCGTTTGGTGTTTAATTGCTCGTACAACTATGAAGGCAGAACCCTAAATGAGAACTTACTTCCTGGGCCTCAACTTGGATCATCCTTGATTGGAGTCTTACTGCGTTTCAGACAGCACAGCATAGCTATCTCCGGTGACATAAAGGCCATGTTCCACCAAGTGAGATTACTGCCAAAGGACCGACCCTTACTACGATTCATCTGGCGCAACATGGACCAGACGGTTCCACCAAACATTTATGAATGGCAAGTGCTTCCATTCGGCACTACTTGTAGCCCTTGCTGTGCAATATATGCGCTGCAGACACATGTACATGGTCACAAGGAGGAAAACCCTGATGTGTACAGATCAGTCACCACAGCTTTCTATGTGGACAACTGCTTAGACAGCGTTCCAACTGCAGCAGAAGCCAAAGATTTAGTACATGACATGAGTGCTTTGCTGGATAAAGGTGGCTTCCACCTCAGACAGTGGATCAGCAACATTCCCTCAGTCGTGGCTGATCTACCTACAGAGGACAAGGCAGCCAATTGTGAACGTTGGCTCAGTCTTGGCGAGACAGGACTTACGGAGGGAACCTTGGGACTCCAATGGCGATGTGACAGTGATGTGCTTGGATATAGGATCAAAGAGATTAGCCATGATTGTCTCACCATGAAAGTCATATATCGAATCTTGGCCAGCCAGTATGACCCCTTAGGATATTTAACTCCTTTCACCGCAAGAGCGAAAGTCATCGTCCAAGATCTGTGGAAATTGAAGAGAGATTGGGATGCACCTATTGTGGAGGGAAGTGAATATGAGAAGTGGTGTTCATGGGAAAATGAGCTACCAGACATGGAGAAGGTTAATCTACCACGTTGTTACACACCTCATCATGTCGATACTACGAATTCAGTTCAACAGCTGCATATCTTCTCGGATGCCTCAGAACGTGTGTATGGTACAGTTGCCTTCCTTCAGACAGTGTATCAGGGAACGGTTTATGTCAGCTTTGTACAAGCCAGATCCAGAGTCGCTCCAAAACGACAACTTTCCATACCTCGACTTGAACTATCAGCAGCTCTAGTAGGAGCACAACTTGCAGACATGCTGATCAGAGAACTTACCTTACCAATTGAAAGAGTCACCTTGTGGAGTGATTCAACAACAGTGCTGTCTTGGCTGAAATCTGATTCATGCAGATATAAAGTATTTGTTGGAACCAGGGTTGCAGAGATTCAAACTCTAACCAATGTTGCGGACTGGCGATACGTGAACACAAAAGACAACCCCGCTGATGATCTTACTAGAGGCAAGACCCTGGAGGAGCTTACAAATTCTTCCGCTTGGAAGAATGGTCCATCCTTCCTTCTACGATCACAAGAAGAGTGGCCGCCTGACATAGTGATGAGTACCTCCATCAAGGACACGAGTGGTGAAGTCAAGACTACCTTTTGCGCAATGTCCATGACTGAAAACCCAACGATTCCAGATGTGAGCAAGTACAGTACCTGGAGTCAGTTTGTTAGGGATACCATGCAGATCCTTAACGGGCGGCCAAGGACCCACAATTACCTTTTGATTGGATCAAAACAGAGATGTTCTTATTCCGTAAAGTCCAGTGTGACTCCTTCACTGAGGAACTCAGTGCCCTTCAGTCTCATAAGAAGTTACCAACCGACAGTCGACTTGCTCAGTTGGATCCTATCTATGATACTGACAGCAATGTTATCCGTGTTGGAGGGAGACTGCGGAAGGCAGAATCTCTGAGTTGCGATGCCAAACATCCAGTGGTGTTGGATCCTCATCATGAGATCACTCAACTTATAATCAGAGACTTTGATGAAAGACTGTTGCACTATGGTGCTGAGCGAATTTTGGCCGAAATCCGGCGAAAGTTCTGGATTCTGCGTGGCAGAGAAGCCATACGTCAACATCAGCGTAAATGTGTCAAATGCAGAAAGGGGCGAGCTCAACCTCAACTTCCCAAAATGAGTGACTTGCCTTCTTCACGATTACGTTTGTACAAACCTGCCTTTTACTCCACAGGAGTGGATTGTTTCGGGCCGATGGCAGTCAAGATAGGACGGCGCACAGAGAAGAGGTGGGGAGTAATCTTCAAGTGCATGACAACACGTGCAGTACATCTTGATTTACTAGACAGTATGAGTACAGATGCCTTCCTGATGGCGTTCCGGCGCTTTGTGGCTCGTCGTGGCAAGCCCCATGAACTCCTCTCAGATTGCGGTAGCAATTTCAAGGGTGCAGAAAGAGAACTGAGAGAAACTTGGATGACCATGGAACAAAGTTTAACCAACCAACTAGCTGGATGCAACGTGAAATTCAAGTTTAATCCCCCCTATGCTCCTCACTTCGGTGGAGTATGGGAGAGGGAAATCAGGTCTGTCAAAAATGGACTGAAGGTTGCATTGGGTGATCAGACGGTATCAGAATCTGTGCTCCAGACGGTGTTAATTGAGGTTGAAGGAATACTTAATTCAAAGCCACTAGGCTATGTGTCTACTGATGCCAAGGATGTTGACCCCATAACTCCTAACATTCTATTGATGGGACGTAGAGATGCATCCCTTCCACAGGTAGTGTACCCTGCTGATGAGCTTCTTGGTCGGAAAGGGTGGCGCCACAGCCAAGTGTTAGCTGATCAATTCTGGAAACACTTCGTGAAATATTACCTACCAACCCTACAGGTTCGACAGAAGTGGCAAGGAGATAAACCTGACCACAACAACTTGATGTGCAATGATGTTGTCATGATTGCAGACCCTCAGACCGTTCGTTCCTTATGGCGGGTAGGAAGAGTAAGCAGGGCTTACCCAGGTGATGATGGGAGGGTTCGATCTGCAACAGTCCTTGTCGGAGACCAGGAAGTTACCAGACCGGTGACCAGACTCGTACGCTTACCGGAGTGTGCTGACAGTGATGTAAAGTGAATCTTTAAGTGACAGTGATGTAAAGTGAATCTTTAAGTGACAGTGATGACATTTTCAGTTTATATCAAAGCAAATTTTGTCCCAAAATTTGGGGGCAGCTGTGTTAGAAAGGATTTGATTTGTTTCGCTTTAGTTATTTTATTCCGCTGACCATTCCCACTTTTCAATTAAAGGTTCCAGTTTTAGTAGATTTGTTTTACAAGATGGCAGCCTCCATGTAACCAACTGCTGCCATGTGCTCTGAAATAAAACACTTGGAATAACGAACAGACACTTCTTTTCAAGTACAGGTCACCAGTTAGACCAGGTCACCAGTTAGACCAGGTCACCAGTTAGAACAGGTCACCAGTTAGTACAGGTCACCAGTTAGACCAGGTCACCAGTTAGTACAAGTCACCAGTTAGACCAGGTCACCAGTTAGTACAAGTCACCAGTTAGAACAGGTCACCAGTTAGAACAAGTCACCAGTTAGAACAGGTCACCAGTTAAAACAAGTCACCAGTTAGAACAGGTCACCAGTTAGAACAAGCCACCAGTTAGAACAGGTCACCAGTTAGAACAGGTCACCAGTTAGACCAGGTCACCAGTGACCACTTGTCATAAGAGATGACATTGGCATCTGCTGGCCAGTCTTGTTGACTTGTCGCGTTTATTGATCATTGTATCCCTGAATACGAATACACAATGCCATTTAGAAAGTGGTCAAATGTAACATATGTTATATTTGGACTAACACTGTTGCGTTGGACTTACTGCTATAACCAGTTAATGGTTTGTATAATCAAAATGTTATTATTTACAGGACGCCGAAATAGCGATCTAATACTACGGGCTGCTGGTTTCACCACCATGCACTCACTTCACCTGGAACCTTCAGTCTGAAAACTCGTCCAGCACAAACACTAGAATGAATCCAGAGCAGCTGCTGATGACGGTTCTGCTAATTCTACCTCATGACTACCTTTGCGCTATGATGACCTTAACTCACATACTTTAACACAGACTTACGACGAGACTTTACAGGAACCCTGCGTCAGCTACAGTTTATAACAAATATTAGGCCATCGTGATCAGCGCTCATTGCTACCCGTGAAGATCCGGGATAGAATTGATCTTCAGTAACCCATGCTTGTTTCAAGAGGCCACTAACGGGATTAGGTGGTCAGGCTCGCTGACTTAGCTGACGGAGCGTCATCGTATCCCCATTGTGTAGATCGATGCTCGTGCTGCTGGTCACTAGATTGACTGGTCCAGACTCGATTATCTACAGACCGCCGCCATAAAGCTGGAATATTGCTGATTGCGGCGCAAATTAAACTCACCCACTCAGGTCCTGATTGCCACGGCGGCTATTAACCCAAAGTTGTTCACAACCTGTTTGTCTGGCCCATATGCACGTGTGTGCAGTTAATCATTGTACCTGTTTACCCAGATGCACGTGTGTGCTGTTACACAATGGACCTGTTTGCCCAAATGCACGTGTGTACAGGTACACAATGTACCTACCTGCCATGGGTATTCGTGTGGTTCGGCTTGACCCCCTCCCACTATCCTGTGATTGTGACTCACCAACGTGATGCCACAGGTGCCTGTGGACATACAGGGAGTTAGGTCATGATGTGAATATAGGGCATGGAGTTAATATAGATCATGGTGTGAACATAGTCTATGCTGTGAATATAGGGCATTATGGATTATAGGTCATAATGTGAATATAGACAGAGCGTTGATATACGGCATGGTGTGAACATAACTCATAGTGTGAATATAGGGCATTATGGAATATAGGTCATAATGTGAATATAGGCAGAGCGTTGATATACGGCATGGTGTGAACATAACTCATAGTGTGAATATAGGGCATTATGGAATATAGGTCATAATGTGAATATAGACAGAGCGTTGATATACGGCATGGTGTGAACATAACTCATAGTGTGAATATAGGGCTTTATGGATTATAGGTCATAATGTGAATATAGACAGAGCGTTGATATACGGCATGGTGTGAACATTCATAGTGAATATAGGGCATTATGGAATATGGGTCATAATGTGAATATAGGCAGAGCGTTGATATACGGCATGGTGTGAACATAACTCATAGTGTGAATATAGGGCATTATGGAATATAGGTCATAATGTGAATATAGACAGAGCGTTGATATACGGCATGGTGTGAACATAACTCATAGTGTGAATATAGGGCATTATGGAATATAGGTCATAATGTGAATATAGGCAGAGCGTTGATATACGGCATGGTGTGAACATAACTCATAGTGTGAATATAGGCAGAGCTTTGGTACAGGGCATGGCGTTAATATATGGTGTTGTGTGAAGAGAAATGCTCTTGTATACACTGGGTCCTCCGCTAAGTCTACCTCATGACTACCTTTGCGCTGTGTTGACCTTAACCCACATACATTAACACAGACTTACGACGAAACGTTCCAAAGTGATAAACTCACATTTAGCTGCAGGATGTAAATAAACTATATAAAGCTCGAGACGACTGAAGACACAACGAATTAAAGAATAACTGGTTTCACTCTCGTTGAAAATCCCAAACCAACATCATGCTTACGTGATTCTACAATGGACCCGGACGTGTTGGATGGATGTGTCGGTAGTGACGGTTGGTTGTTGTTGGTTTGATGGTTTGGTCCGGTAATATGGCTCCCTGATCCGGATCCGAGAAGAGATCCTCCAAGAGCTCCAGTGCCCGGATGATAGGACTCAGGATAGCAGCAGAGTTTGAGAAAGCCACAATGACTGAATGAAAGGTGGTCACCACTCCGACACGACTCAGTGTAGTTAACACAATAGCCCTTGTAAATGTTTTCACAATCTGCAAGAGATGACAGTCCAATCCCGTTAGTCAACAAGCACTCTGAACACCCGGTGTTCAGTGGTAGACTCAGATAATTTTCACCCCCAGTCTATACTTTACACCCAGTGGAATATGTTCCGACAAATAGGGGAGCCAACAGTCTTCTTTATATATTTTTGTCTAAAATACACATATGTATAATTCTATTAGTTTTATATTGACTGACCCGAAAGTCTGAACGTCTGTTAAGAATAGGATCTGATGTAAATTGGGTTTTTTTCAGGGCCAAAACAGGGAACTTCGAAAGAGCAGAAGAAATTGTGCGAATGTTATAGGTGTGTCCGGACCATCACACCAACATGCCTGTTAATTTGAGTTTTGATGTCACATTAGACGAATTCCATACGTTTTCACAAAGTACACTCAACTGGACATATTGAGAACTTTACTATGTTATGTTTTAGGGTATCATCATGATGAAAATACATCTCATGACCTACCATCTAACCTCCATCCCTTAAGTATTCACCATTCTTCAATACTTCAGCAAAAGACGTAACAGCTATATGTTACGTAACATGCTGTAAATGGGCATGATACACGACACATGATACAGAGAGACGGGAAGGGTTAGGAGGGTAAAGAGGACGAACAGGTTGTAAAGTTGAATTTAACGCTTTACATTTCACTCATTAGCAGAAGTGCCATGCATGACAAGAACAAACAACAGCGTTTGTTTCAGGTGACCTGTTCTTGCTACAACATACTTGTCTTTTAAATCCTCACCCCTACATGTAGCGTTCACCCATCCAACTCCTCTCCGCCACAAGGATTGCAAAACTGTGTGACCTGTCCGATGTAGCCACGATGATGTGCCACCGCAAACTTGGCATTTAAACGCTCACCACTACACGTAACCACCTGCCTCATAATGAGAAGACAAATAGGGGTACAGGTAAATAAAACCCTGCTTGGCTAATGTGTAATAAGACATTTACCTGTGTGATGGGGTTTGGTTACCGAGGCAACAGGCGGCCGCTGGGTGCTGGGGGAGGGTGTGGCAGGTGCTTGATGGTGGAGTGGGTAGCAGCAGTATGTCATGTAACCACACCGATGGCTGTAGGAGTACGTATATCCCCTGGGGCAGGTCTCAGTGAAGCGGACACAGATCCCGTTATAGTCCAGTCGGCAATCTGGCAGGTAGAACAGTCAATGTATTCTGTGGTCGATGTCCAAGACAGAGCACTGCCCTGTCTACAGCACCACACAGTAGTAATTTTTGTGAATTTGTTTGGTGTTCAACGCCGCACTCAGCAATATTCCAGCTATATGACGTCGGTCTGTTAATAATATTGAATCCAGTCAGGACCAGACAATTCAGTGATCAACTGTATGAGTATAGATCTATGCAATTGGGATACGATGACATGTGTCAACCAAGTCATAAGTCGCCTCTTACGACAAGAGTTGCAGAAAAACACTTCTAACCCGGATCTTCACGTTTATCACGTTTCAGTAAAATACACAAAAATATTCTCCTTAACAAACAGTTATCCTTGACGACCTGAGCTAGAATCGGTCTTCGTGAACCAATGCTTGACAAGGAATCGGTGGTCAACTCTTCGTGAACCAATGCTTGACAAGGAATCGGTGGTCAACTCACCCCATTGTGTAACCTATAATTGTACAAGGAATCGGTGGTCAACTCATCCCATTGCGTAACCTATAATTGTACAAGGAATCGGTGGTCAACTCATCCCATTGTGTAACCTATAATTGTACAAGGAATCGGTGGTCAACTCATCCCATTGTGTAACCTATAATTGTACAAGGAATCGGTGGTCAACTCATCCCATTGTGTAACCTATAATTGTACAAGGAATCGGTGGTCAACTCATCCCATTGTGTAACCTATAATTGTACAAGGAATCGGTGGTCAACTCATCCCATTGTGTAACCTATAATTGAACAAGGAATCGGTGGTCAACTCATCCCATTGTGTAACCTATAATTGTACAAGGAATCGGTGGTCAACTCATCCCATGGTGTAACCTATAATTGTACAAGGAATCGGTGGTCAACTCACCCCATGGTGTAACCTATAATTGTACAAGGAATCGGTGGTCAACTCATCCCATGGTGTAACCTATAATTGTACAAGGAATCGGTGGTCAACTCATCCCATTGTGTAACCTATAATTGTACAAGGAATCGGTGGTCAACTCATCCCATTGTGTAACCTATAATTGTACAAGGAATCGGTGGTCAACTCATCCCATTGTGTAACCTATAATTGTACGGTGGAATCGGTTGGTCAACTCATCCCATTCGGTGGTCAACCATCCCCATTGTAACCTATAATTGTACAAGGAATCGGTGGTCAATTCATCCCATTGTGTAACCTATAATTGTACAAGGAATCGGTGGTCAACTCATCCCATTGTGTAACCTATAATTGTACAAGGAATCGGTGGTCAACTCACCCCATGGTGTAACCTATAATTGTACAAGGAATCGGTGGTCAACTCATCCCATGGTGTAACCTATAATTGTACAAGGAATCGGTGGTCAATTCATCCCATTGTGTAACCTATAATTGTACAAGGAATCGGTGGTCAACTCATCCCATTGTGTAACCTATAATTGTACAAGGAATCGGTGGTCAACTCACCCCATGGTGTAACCTATAATTGTACAAGGAATCGGTGGTCAACTCATCCCATGGTGTAACCTATAATTGTACAAGGAATCGGTGGTCAACTCATCCCATGGTGTAACCTATAATTGTACAAGGAATCGGTGGTCAACTCATCCCATGGTGTAACCTATAATTGTACAAGGAATCGGTGGTCAACTCATCCCATTGTGTAACCTATAATTGTACAAGGAATCGGTGGTCAACTCATCCCATGGTGTAACCTATAATTGTACTAGGAATCGGTGGTCAACTCATCCCATGGTGTAACCTATAATTGTACAAGGAATCGGTGGTCAACTCATCCCATTGTGTAACCTATAATTGTACAAGGAATCGGTGGTCAACTCATCCCATGGTGTAACCTATAGTTGTACAAGGAATCGGTGGTCAACTCATCCCATTGTGTAACCTATAATTGTACAAGGAATCGGTGGTCAACTCATCCCATGGTGTAACCTATAATTGTACAAGGAATCGGTGGTCAACTCACCCCATTGTGTAACCTATAATTGTACAAGGAATCGGTGGTCAACTCATCCCATTGTGTAACCTATAATTGTACAAGTCGTTAGGTATCAGGCCGGGAAGGCCACATTTCAATTACATGGCTGTAGCCGGTAAAGCCACATTTCCAATAGATTAATTAATTAATGGATTACCGGTAAAAGAGTGTCCCCTTTATAATCTTGTTTTCACAAGAAACGAAAAATCTTTCCTACTCACAAGCGTGGTGTTTAGCCATACCGGTAAAAGACTGTTCCTACACTAAACGCCAAAAGAAACGTTACCCTCCTACCTTTATGAATTACTTAAAATCTATCGAAGATAAGTTAGAAGGTATTAGTTTCAAGAAAGCTGAATAACACAGCTTTATGCAAATCACGAACCATATTCTCAAACGCATACATATTTTGGTGATATGCTTCTTTTTCAGAAGAGTTAAATTGTCCTATTTTCGACCATGCCGAAATTAACTAATAACAGTGATTTAGATGTCCAAAAGAAAGGTTGAAATAAGATTCTGCTTTGAGACAGACATAAATCATTTAAAGTTATCATTTTTTAAATTATTACAACAAGAAACAACTGTTGTGAAGTGTGTAAAATTGTAAAAGAATCATTCTTATGATTTCAGTCTTTTTAAACATTTTCTGCTGATTTGCATTAGTGAAAACAAGTACAACATGTCTTTGATATTGTGAAAAAGGTTTGGGAACATCTAAAATGACATTTTCCCATTTTCTGTTTACACACAACAATATCAATCGTCAAAACGTAGCAATATTCAAGCAGTGTTTGCATCAATTTCACGTATAGACTGATTCTATATGGTATAAAGAAAGCCTAGAATGCATGATATGATATACAAGTCCGAGAGATATGCCACGATTAACAGCTGAAGAGAAGCAAAGAGCAATTGGGATGTTGCAGATGGGGGTCAACATACAACGCTGTTGCCAACGCCCTCGGATGCCACCGTATCACGGTTGTGATCTGAATAAAATTATGAGGAAACATGTCTTGTTTTGTTAAATACGGTAGCCTGTTTGAATTACTAAGCATGTTTTGACAGCATGGCCGGGAGAGCCACATTCAATGTTCACGCGACCATAACTATTGCCGGGAGAGCCACATCAGTTTTGGCTATCTGTTTCGGAAATATGGATGTCCCGGCCTGTAACCAGTCGTTATTTCAGAATGCTCCTGACGTTAAAGAAAGAAGTTCATATTGAATATTACCTCTGTTATAAGGTTAAAATGCATATTTTAAACAAGAAATGTATAGCAAATACATTATTGAGAATCGCAGTTATTTCGTGATGGAAATGACGATATCACTGCTTGGTCATTAATCAAGGGATATAGAACAAAATAACTGGGAGTAACATAATCCAAAAGCCTCCCAAGTATTAATTAACGGTGACTCACCGATGAATAATTTATAGTACTTCACCGATCACGAGGTACGACAGGAGACCATGTAACTTTAAACGAATCAGAACTATTGTATCGGGACATGTGGCAAGGGCGGGGCAGACTCGAACACCTTTAAAAGACAGCACCAGCAAAGTGGAACGGGTTTCAAAGTCAGCAGAACGTTCGCATCGCGATCGTTGCAGTTCCACGTTTTGTTAAGAGCTTCCCCTGTTGTCCAGTCCGAGTCACCTTGTAATGAAGAGAGGGATTGAGTAAACCTATGTGAGTATAGAACCCGGTGTGAATTTAATTATTGTAGGAATGTGCGCCAGTACACGAAGAAGAAGAAGAAAAATATAGTTTTATTTATGTCTCACTCGTAGTTACATAAACATATAAAGTAAATGTACTACGACCAGTCGCTCAGCGACTTATGGGAGACAATATCATAATTATTATAAAATACAACATACGTGGTAGAATATATGTACATATCAAAACTGCAAAAACACATATAGAACATAAAATCACCTTAACCGTATAAAATATCACGACGTTTGTTTAAAATATCATGGCAGGTTTTGGATGCGATATAAATTAAGTCATGGGAATTGAAAATGTGATAAAACATTTCTTCATAAGACAGCGTATTAAAATGCGGTAATTTATCTAAACACGAGTTTAAAAGATTTTCTCTGATGGTAGTGTAGACGGGGCAGTTAAACAGGACATGTATTTCATCTTCCACTTGTTTGGGACAGGTAAAACAAAATCTCTCATAATATGGTAGGCTTTCGTATCTTCCCGTCTCCACTCTTATAGGTGCCGCTCCATATCTGAATTTCGCCAAAGCACTCCTGTGATTTCGGGGAAGTGGATATTGAATATATTTCATAATTGTTCTTAAAAGGTCTGTAAATCCGTAGTTTATTCTTCCCCTGTCTTCCTTCAACCTGAGCTAACCTTTCTTTCTAGGACAGCTGATGGTTGTTTTGCAGTACGTCTTGTAACGCGGCGAGGAATGGCTTCTTCTCTTAACTTTCTGCTTCTTTTAGGTGTCCGAATCCCAAATTGTCCATATGGTTCCTGACTTTAAATTTCCAGTTTTTCTCTTACATTTATTAGCCCATATTAATATCCTCTTGTTTATTCTCCTACTCGGTGTGTTCACATTTCTTGTCCAGTGTCTAAAAACGCATATCCAGTTTCGCACTTTTGGAGGTATCCATCCCATCTCGCCGTTGACTGCCGTGTTCGGAGCGTATTTCCCAAGACCGAGGAAGAAACGTAGTGCTCGGTGTTGAACTGCGTTAATACAAGAATAGTCAGTTGTTCCCCATATTGCTGCGCCGTAACTTAAAACCGAATAAACTATGGTGTCGTAAAGTTTGGTAAAAACATTGTAGGGCATACCGCCAAGACTTTTGAATTTAGATATTAGAAGTCCAAGAGCTCTGTTAGCTGATTTTGCTGCAGATTTGGCCATGATGTTGTAGTCTAGGTGCTCGCTTAGTAGTACACCGAGATAGTGGTATTTGTCCTCAACTGTTAAAATAGCTTCTCCGCACTTGAAAGTTGTAGTAGTTCTACTAATAGATGGGTTCATAAGATGCATTACTTTAGATTTGTCAGGGTTGATAGTCATCTTGTTAGTCACACACCACTGATACACTGCGCCTAGTAAACATTGTAGATCTTCCTCTGTCTCTGCGAGTAACACAATATCGTCAGCGTAAGCTAGTACTGCTACGACGTCTTCTCCGACTCTCACTCCTCTTCTAAGCGCATTTAAGGTAGAAATCAGATCGTTCATATACATATTAAAAAGTAGCGGTGATAGTAGGCAACCCTGTTTGAGACCACGATTGACGGAGAACAACGGTGTGAGTAACCTGTGGACAAGTACACAGCATCTGGCGTTCTGATACAGGGATTTAATTGCTGTCAACATTCTTCCTCCGATGCCTGTTTCTTGCAACTTCTCCCAGGGAATATTCCTGTCAATCAGTCGTATGCTTTCTTGAAGTCGATAAAAGCTGTATAAGTACATTTTCATGCCAGTTTTCTACTTTCGATGATGCTTGTAATTGACGATATATGGTGCGGCGTAAAACTAAACTCACTCACTCACTCTTTCAAAGAACTTGTGCTTAAAGCGATCGCACGCTAGAAGACCCCGGTTCGATTTATTGGACATGGGTACATTGTGTGAAGCCCAAGTCTGGTGATATTGCTGAAATTTTGCTAAGAGCGACGTGGCACTAAACTCACTCACTCATTTACTTTCACAAAACATTTTTGAATGATTAGGAAATTAGCACTATATATCATACAACAGGGAACGCTCCCATATGTGCAAGATATAAAAAATAATAATAATTTTACAAAACAATATTTACCATTGAATCCTGCGACCACAGAAAGAACGGCCACCAGAATTACGAGACGTTCCATTGTCACACGACTGTTTACCTTCATAGAGCGTCCTCGGGCAAGGGAGTACAAACAGACAGTGGTCAGGTATAAAATCCCCCCAGGTGAGATACAGCACGGAGCCAGGTGGACAGTGTGTTGACCAGGTCTGCCTGATGTCACAAAACTGACCTTTTCACATCGGGTTCAGTCTCCTGGTTTTGTGATAACGGTGTTTTGATCGCCGATCTCTTCCGAATTCAGTTACTGAATATATATGATAAAGTTGTACGTCTTCACAAGACAAATACCGGTATCGAGTTTCCACCTAAACATTAACAGTTGTGTGTAAAGGGAAAAACAGCCGTGAAAACAATGGAAATGGGCCAATGATGGCACCAGGTGTCCGAGAAAAGGGTAAACAGGTACCACAATAATTATTCTGGCTGGGATTGAACGCCGTGCCAAAAATGGTTGCTTTTAATTTGTTCACGAAAAGGGAAAGTAGATTCCGGTACCAAACTAATTGTTTTCATTGTGATTGAACTCCGTATCAGCAGTTAAATTTACTGTTTATCCCGTACCAGCCTGTCACAGTCGAGTTATGTGTAGTGTCCAACCGGACACCTCTTGTATTCTCGATAGGTTGGGGCTTTGGGGCTGTGTGATCAAAACAGAGCTGTCATGTTGCTCTATCTATGATGCAGTTGACAAAAGAAATATTCGAGGAACGCTGGTTTGTACTAACAAACCCATATCCACAATTAAATGAGTATTTAATTAAAATTGGCAAAGCCGTTTAGAACGGACATCGTATTCACTCCCGCGAAACAACAATTTGAATATAAGTGTGAAACGTATGTCCAGTAGATCCATGTAATACCAAGCCACGCAACCTGTACTTGGGCTCACTGTCATAATTCTCTGCCAGTGACGTTGTATGAATCCAAAGTACACGTCAGATATGTTTCGTATAGTTTTTAAGACATGCTTTTAATATCCAATATGATTTCTAGAAGAAAGCAAACACAATCACCGCCATGATCTGTACGTGACAGTCACGTGCATGAAACGAGGTTTAATATGGATTCCTGTCAGTGCTGACGGTGGTACTATTAGGTACCCGGGTTAGATTCAGTAGCCCATGCCTGTCGTAAGAGGAGACTAACGGGATCACTTACTTGGTTGACACATGTCATCGTATCCCAGTTGCATAGATTCATGCTCATGATGCAGGTCACTGGATTGTTTGGTCGACACTCGATTATGTACAGACCGCCGCCATATAGCTGTAATGCTGAGTGCGGCGTAAACCAACCAACCAACCAACAAACAAAATGGTCTATAAAGGGACTGTATCCTGGGATTCAAACCCTCCCCACAAACAAACGAACAGATGTAGATAACCATTAGCAAACCCACAGTTTTATTGTATCTTTTGGATATAAATTAGAATCGATCGGCCATATAACGGCACCAGAAAATGCCCGCATCAGCTGATGATGTTGTGTATCCACTCTCTGTAGCTGAAGACTCTGGTGTAGACGCCCGGGAACCTGCCGTCCCCGCACTGCTTGCCCCACAACACCAACCCTTTCAGGTGACACGCCCCCTGCTCCATGCACACGAGGGGGCCTCCAGAATCACCCTGACGAAAAACCCAAAACATCATATTATTCGTAGCTCTGTGGCATCTACTGCATTCTTGGGGCCTAATCGAATATACTCATTAGAATATCCATCATCGTTCCCCGGCGGCGTAGTCGTTGCTCACAATATTAGTTACTGGTTTGTTTGGTGAGTGTGTGAGCTGGGGTCTACGCCGCTTTTAGCAAAATTCCAGCAATATCACGGCGGGGGACACCAGAAATAGACTTCACACTTTTTACTCACGAGGGCCTTCGGCGTGACGAGCGAACGCTTTACCCACTAGGCTACCACGCAGCCCCCGGTTTGTCTGGTGTAGGGTTGATGGTTTACAGAACACCATCCTACCCACTACACTATTATCACCCGGTTTCCATGGTAACAGTTCCAAGGCCTTCCCGATAATGCATTCATACGAGCATAAATCTTTACCTCACAGGCATCATTTCCGCCACCACTTGCACATATGTTGTTGTCGAAGACGTTGTAGCCAACGTTGGCGTAGTCTGTCCTACATTCAGCCAACGGCACAATCGACACACTAGCCTTCTTCAGGAAACTACTGTCCTGGTGACCTTAAACACAGGAATGTTACAGTTACACACACGTCTCACACAATATGGACACACTAGCCTTCTTCAGGAAACCGCTGTCCTGACATTGGACACAGGAATGTTACAGTTACACACACGTCTCACAATATGGACACACTGGCCTTCTTCAGGAAACCGCTGTCCTGGTGACCTTAAACACAGGAATGTTACAGTTACACACACGTCTCACACAATATGGACACACTAGCCTTCTTCAGGAAACCGCTGTCCTGACATTGGACACAGGAATGTTACAGTTACACACACGTCTCACACAATATGGACACACTAGCCTTCTTCAGGAAACCGCTGTCCTGGTGACCTTAAACACAGGAATGTTACAGTTAGACACACGTCTCACACAATATGGACACACTGGCCTTCTTCAGGAAACCGCTGTCCTGACATTGGACACAGGAATATTACAGTTACACACACGTCTCACACAATATGGACACACTAGCCTTCTTCAGGAAACCGCTGTCCTGGCATTGGACACAGGAATTTTACAGTTACACACACATCTCACACAATATGGACACACTAGCCTTCTTCAGGAAACCGCTCTCCTGACCTTGGACACAGGAATATTACAGTAACACACACGTCTCACACAATATGGACACACTAGCCTTCTTCAGGAAACCGCTGTCCTGACATTGGACACAGGAATATTACAGTTACACACACGTCTCACACAATATGGACACACTAGCCTTCTTCAGGAAACCGCTGTCCTGGTGACCTTAAACACAGGAATGTTACAGTTACACACACGTCTCACACAATATGGACACACTGGCCTTCTTCAGGAAACCGCTGTCCTGACATTGGACACAGGAATATTACAGTTACACACACGTCTCACACAATATGGACACACTGGCCTTCTTCAGGAAACCGCTGTCCTGACATTGGACACAGGAATATTACAGTTACACACATGTCTCACACAATATGGACACACTGGCCTTCTTCAGGAAACCGCTGCCCTGGCATTGGACACAGGAATTTTACAGTGACACACACATCTCACACAATATGGACACACTAGCCTTCTTCAGGAAACCGCTCTCCTGACCTTGGACACAGGAAGATTACAGTAACACACACGTCTCACACAATATGAACACACTGGCCTTCTTCCAACAAACATTAGTATGTAACATTAGTTATATTTTGGGATTACACTTTCTTACTACAGTTAGCATGATGCTGAGAAATCTGGCTCATCGGGGATTCGAGTTATTATTCCTGGCAGACCTAATTGACGCAACTGTTGTAATGATGCTACTTGGGGACTAAATCGTCCATTTTGAATTTATAATGAGACACCTGAACACCTGGTGTATCTATTTTTAGATGATGCGTCTTTGTCTCAGGTCTATATTGAGATCTATGGTGTGAACATCTGGTGTGTCTATTTTTAGACTCGGGTGGGTAATAAAAGGTCCCCCATGAACAGCCCTCTATACACAGTTTCAGTCATTACACCTAGTGATTACACATTGTGGATATACCAGTGTATTTCTTATGGGATTACTAATCAACCTGGCATTATACTGTGTGATTCACTGGGTTTATATTTTCAATAGCTCAGCCTCTCAACTACACATCTCTGGAGTAATTAAACATTGTGTATATTTCTCACTTGATTTCAAAACATCTTTGGATTATACACTGGAGTGACTACACATTATACTACCGGTGTATTTCTCTTTTATCTCAAAGCGAGCGCCCATTATCGCAGTATCAATTCCCGTCTGACTAACTATAACTATTAAAAATGTGAAGAAACAGATTGATTCATACTGTACTCCAACAATGAATGACTCATTTGCCCACCCGTAAGTCCGACCTACAGATATTCAAAGCTATGTTTACGGGAAGGGAATCCCCTCTCCCACCCAAGCATGAAGATTAAGAAAACAAGCGTATAATGGAGTGAAAAATAAAATAACTTCAAATACATGTTACCGAGTGTACATGTTAATACTTTCTTTTAATTTGCGACAGCCTACGAATGAGGTGTACCATGTTCATTCTGCCATAACATTGCCTCTCCCTACGTTCAATGGACCGAGAAGCATGACGGCCTTCACGCCCACTGAAGAAACCAGGTCATACATCGCGTCCCCCGCCGCCATTTTGAAAAAAATGATAAATATATAGATTTAAACAAATAACAAAGTCCTAGCCATGCCCGTCGATGAAAAAAACTGAGTAAAATGTTGAAACTCATAGCGAAATCACACACAGCATGCTTCTCACCAAAATATCCCATGTAGAACCAATCACCATGAACTTACTTTAAAATCCCACATAATCATATGAATAAATACAGCCCGATACACACAGAGAATACAACCTATAGATAGTTGATTACACATGACTCACATATGCCATGAGCCTACTTTAAAACTCACACACAATTACATGAATTAACACAGCCCGATACACACACACAGGCTATGCAGCAGCAGCAGCAACCAGTGCAACCACATTCATCAGAAAACAATGAAATCTGTATATCTCTCTTGTTTCTTAATGTATTGTTCCCCTGGGTTACCCTTCAGTAACCCATGCTTGTCATAAGAGGCGACTAACGGGATCGGGTGGTCAGGCTCGCTGGTTGACACATGACACATGGTGTAGAATGACGCTCATGCTGTTGATCACTGGATTGTGTGGGCAATTATGTACAGACCACCGCCATAGAGCTGCTGAGAGTGTACTAAACTCACTGAATGTATTGCTGGAGGATTGACATAAGACAACTGTTGTACAATTCTTGGTTTTTTATAATACCAATTTCAACCCTATTTCACTGAATCCACGAAAATGTTTAACCTCCTCATACTATTATCAGACATACAAGTTTCAGTTTAATCGTCATTCCTGTTGATTGAATACAAGATAACCACTGTTTCAGTTCATGGTATTGAAGATAACAACTGTTACAGTTCATTGTATTGAATACAACAACAATTTTAATGATCTGTAATGAATATATTTATATACATATATATATATAAACGGTTTATAAATACATAAGCTATTACACTAGTGTTGTAAAGCCATTTTTGGTCTACAAAGCCGTTTTGGACATGTGGCCGGTTTGGACATGTAGCCATATTGAGTCAGAACCATTTGCGAACCGGTTTGATAGACCCTTTTGCGATCCAGTTTGACAGAACCGGTTTTAGGCAGGGGCTGTTGGCGCCAAGCTTGAATGCTCTTTGTTCACCGCCGTGTGCAGCCGGTATGTTGTGCTGTGCGTGTTTAGGTATTCTGGCGGTTTCATGACCGTTTAAAACAGCACAGTAGGTGTGGAATGTATGTGATGGATCATTCTCTATTCTAATTTGTGAGTATTTTTGCGTATGAACGTATTGTGTGAATAATGTTGTTGACGACAGAATCGTGAGTCAGATGTTAACAATGCGAGTACATCTACACACTAAAATTGGTTTAATGCAAGCTATAGTTTAGAAAAAAACGATGAATCTAGGGAAAGGTTCTGATTATGATTGGACTGTGTTTATTGTGTTGAGATTTAATGATTCGTGGCAAACGGGAGTCAGGTCAACTTTCTATCGATCGTAGCCTGTGTGTGTGTATCGGGCTGTGTTTATTCATGTAATTGTGTGTGAGTTTTAAAGTAGGCTCATGGCATATGTGAGTCATGTGTAATCAACTATCTATAGGTTGTATTCTCTGTGTGTATCGGGCTGTATTTATTCATATGATTATGTGGGATTTTAAAGTAAGTTCATGGTGACTCGTTCTACATGGGATATTTTGGTGAGAAGCATGCTGTGTGTGATTTCGCTATGAGTTTCAACATTTTACTCAGTTTTTTTCATCGACGGGCATGGCTAGGACTTTGTTATATTTATCATTTTTTTCAAAATGGCGGCGGGGGACGCGATGTATGACCTGGTTTCTTCAATGGGCGTGAAGGCCGTCATGCTTCTCGGTCCATTGAATGTAGGGAGAGGCAATGTTATGGCAGAATGAACATGGTACACCTCATTCGTAGGCTGTCGCAAATTAAAAGAAAGTATTAACATGTACACTCGGTAACATGTATTTGAAGTTATTTTATTTTTCACTCCATTATACGCTTGTTTTCTTAATCTTCATGCTTGGGTGGGAGAGGGGATTCCCTTCCCGTAAACATAGCTTTGAATATCTGTAGGTCGGACTTACGGGTGGGCAAATGAGTCATTCATTGTTGGAGTACAGTATGAATCAATCTGTTTCTTCACATTTTTAATAGTTATAGTTAGTCAGACGGGAATTGATACTGCGATAATGGGCGCTCGCTTTGAGATAAAAGAGAAATACACCGGTATATAATGTGTAGTCACTCCAGTGTATAATCCAAAGATGTTTTGAAATCAAGTGAGAAATATACACAATGTTTAATTACTCCAGAGATGTGTAGTTGAGAGGCTGAGCTATTGAAAATATAAACCCAGTGAATCACACAGTATAATGCCAGGTTGATTAGTAATCCCATAAGAAATACACTGGTATATCCACAATGTGTAATCACTAGGTGTAATGACTGAAACTGTGTATAGAGGGCTGTTCATGGGGGACCTTTTATTACCCACCCGAGTCTAAAAATAGACACACCAGATGTTCACACCATAGATCTCAATATAGACCTGAGACAAAGACGCATCATCTAAAAATAGATACACCAGGTGTCCAGGTGTCTCATAAATTCAAAATGGACGATTTAGTCCCCAAGTAGCATCCTTACAACACGCAACTCTATTGGTGCAAAGACGCACACGCACACGCATACTCACACGCACACAGCTGGAATAGTGTTAAGTTGGGCAACAACAAACAAACAACTAACACGGAAACAAACAAACACACTATGTATCGTATGGCCCGACGTGTATATGTTGTTAACTAGGAAGGAATATATTCAATATATCTCGGAGACTGTGTAAACAAAAAAAACATTACGCATACGGTGTTGGATAACATGGTGTGGATAACATGGTCTTGATTTACCTAACAGCTTTCACGAGGTAAGATACTTGGATGCTCCTTCCGTACCCTGTGGTATCCTTCAGCATCCTTACTTACCGTGAGCCGCTAATAGCTGCAATATTGCTGATGCGGTTTAAAGCATCATTCATTCACTCACTCACTCACTCCTTACCGTGGGTTTCACCCCATCCAGTCACAAAGCAGCCCGTGGGGGAGTTGGCCGATGCAGGGAGGCAAATCGCTCTGACATTGTTGTTGAAGGCAAATTGGCTGTTGATGCGCATCAAAGCTATGTCATTTTGAGCAGTGACCTTCTGCAAAGTAAAGGTCAACAAGGCATTCGTTAAGCTTTCACATCGCGTGGTAAAGCATTTTATGTCCATAATTGTATCAAGTTCTTTTATAAGTTCCAAACCTGGGTCTAGAATGTGTTGTGTGCTTTTTCTGTGTAAACGTACAGTGTTTATATTTAGAACTTTTGAAAGTGAACAACATCAATTAGTATAAATTGTCTTGTAAAGGAATATCCATGAACAGAAGCTGATATCCCCCCAAAAGAATATTCAACTTAATATTACAGCAGAATTCCAGATATATGGTGGCTGTCTGCAATTAATCGTGCCTGGACCAAACAATCCAGTGACCAACAGCATGAGCATCGATCAACGCAACTGGGATACGATGACATGTTAAGCAACCTGACTGCCCGATCCCGTTAGGCGCCTCTTACTGCAGATCAATTCTAACCCAGATTCCCGAGGTCCACTGAATATGAACATATATTACCAACATTGAACTCTGGATGGGGTATAATCTTGTGGACGCTGTAGTATTGTTCTGTACCGTCGTGAGTCTTCGTGTTGTACTCTCCCGCCCTCACCATGTACCTACCTAGACTTTCCGCACTGTAACACATGGCGGCACACGATCAACACATACCTTCCTCGTCAATATATTTACATCAAAGAAACAATATTTGCATTCTATACAGTGTTTGAATCATTAGTAGCTGAGTGAATCAGGGATCTTGTGCTCGTTCATTATTTGTTTGGATATTTGGGGATAACTCCTCTACTCTGAATAAAACTTTGTATACGTATACTACAGGTTGTTTGTTTTGAAAATTGGACATAGTCCCTCCACACTAGAACCCAAGCTAAGATAATCCCTCCACACTAGAACCCAAGCTAAGATAATCCCTCCACACTAGAACCCAAGCTAAGATAATCCCTCCACATCCCTCCACACTAAAACCCAAGCTAAGATAATCCCAACTGGAACCCAAGCTAAGATAATCCCTCTACACTAGAACCCAAGCTAAGATAATCCCTCTACACTAGAACCCAAGCTAAGATAATCCCTCAACCCAAGCTAAGATAATCCCTCTACACTAGAACCCAAGCTAAGATAATCCCTCCACTACACTAGAACCCAAGCTAAGATAATCCCTCCACACTAGAACCCAAGCTAAGATAATCCCACTAGAAGCTAAGATAATCCCTCCACACTAGAACCCAAGCTAAGATAATCCCTCCACACTAGAACCCAAGCTAAGATAATCCCTCCACACTAGAACCCAAGCTAAGATAATCCCTCCACACTAGAACCCAAGCTAAGATAATCCCTCCACACTAGAACCCAAGCTAAGATAATCCCTCCACACTGGGAACCCAAGCTAAGATAGTCCCTCCACACACTAGAACCCAAGCTAAGATAATCCCTCCACACTAGAACCCAAGCTAAGATAATCCCTCCACACTAGAACCCAAGCTAAGATAATCCCTCCACACTAGAACCCAAGCTAAGATAATCCCTCCACACTAGAACCCAAGCTAAGATAATCCCTCCACACTAGAACCCAAGCTAAGATAATCCCTCCACACTAGAACCCAAGCTAAGATAATCCCTCCACACTAGAACCCAAGCTAAGATAATCCCTCCACACTAGAACCCAAGCTAAGATAATCCCTCTACACTAGAACCCAAGCTAAGATAATCCCTCCACACTAGAACCCAAGCTAAGATAATCCCTCCACACTAGAACCCAAGCTAAGATAATCCCTCCACACTAGGAACCCAAGCTAAGATAATCCTCTCCACACTAGATACCCAAGCTAAGATAATCCCTCCACACTAGAACCCAAGCTAAGATAATCCCTCCACACTAGAACCCAAGCTAAGATAATCCCTCCACACTAGAACCCAAGCTAAGATAATCCCTCTACACTCATTAAGGGTAAAAATAATCATCATACTTTGATTTCTCTACTCAGCTTTTCAGTTGGGAGTGAACCCACAATACATAGGTAATGTCATACACTCCTTTACTGTAACAACCATGGTTATTTAATAAAACAACAACAATATACGTTTTGAAATAAAAAAAGGTTCCCCTGTACATCCATATTCTAAAGAGGATACTAAACGACCTTCCATGTAATACCAATTGTATTAAACGAGTTAATGATGCTAAATCTTTCATGAGTTTGATAAAAAGGGTATTTCACGGAAGCGAGTTTAGTATTCTGTTTATTACCCTCCAACATAAATTGATAGAAACTGTCTATAGTGTGATGACTCTCATATCAATTTTCCTCGAGTCAGGCAAGGTCTAATACCATTGCGACAGAGACATTAGCATTGTGACGTCATAACTGTAACCATTATGACGTCATATGTCTCGCGGTATTACACTAGTGTAATATTGCTGTTTATTACCCACGTGGTCAACGTATGGGTAGTTGCATACTAATCCCGTACGTCACACAAGTGTCGTATCGCGTTGACCTGTGTCGTAACGACTTGACGTGACATTCTAACGATTTGATTGGATAACCGATGACCTCTCAGTTAGGTCACGTTGTGACGGAACTACCTGTTCATTCATAACAAACACGTGAATTCATTCATTCTACAACTTAGATGCATTGTGGGAATGTAAACATTGCGAACGTTGCCGTATCGCTGTATAATTGTGAGTCGAACTGAGACATTATATGCGTCGAAAAACATAAACGTAAAGTTTCCACCAGTGAGGTTAGCCGAATGAAGCAACTGCAAACCAAGAAACGGGATGCTACGGAGTAGTATAATGTAGGAGGCTGTATGAGGCGATGACAGCTGACATGCATCGTGACGTCGGTTACCAAGGGGGCAGACGAGCAAGGCGTAGTGACGTCATTACACTGTGACGTCATGCAAAAAGTGTACTACAGAACAACATTCTTCCGCAACATCTTTATGAAACCGGTTGCGGTTTGAAACCATTAAAATAACAAAAATACGCTATTTTGTCAATTTAAAGCATGTAAGACGTGGGTAATAAATAAAATACCACACTCGGTCTCATAACATACGAATTATACGAAACTCGTGACCTTCCTATGGTTTCTGACCTCGCTTTCGCTCGGTCAGTTACCATAGGAAGGACACTCGTTTCGTATAATTCGTATGTAATGAGACCTCGTGTAGTATTCTCTATAAACTTATTACACTGCAGTATCTTCCACGGGCGAGTAATACATTTCTTTAGTATCCACAACTGTGTTCTGTGTGAGATTAAACGATATATCCTAAGATATCGTTTGACAGTAGATTTTGTTCAATGCCCTGACAGTGCTATGACGTCATGAACTTGATGACGTCACAATGCTATGACATCGCTGCATTGTAAGTCTAATGGCAGTACCGTGTTCAGAGATGTACATTTTCCATTGAAAACTAATGAAGAATAATTTTGGATGATAAATAGAATCTCACCCTCGTGTCTTCTGATATCAAATTTATCAAAACTCATTGATAAAAGTTAAAATATGTAAATTTGTAACTTTATCAACTCGTGTTGACATAATTGATATCAGGTGAGATTCTCTTTTTATTACATCATAAATTCCACAAATAAACCTGCTTGTGATCACAAAACCCCGCCGATATATGTTTTTATAAATATTACATGTACTGTATTTAGCCACATACAACAGAAAGGAAAACATACGACACGTATAGTACTGTTATTTAGGCACATACTAAAGAAACGGAAACATACGACACGCATAGTACTGTTATTTAGGCACATACAACAGAAAGGAAAACATACGACACGCATAATACTGTTATTTAGGCACATACAACAGAAAGGAAGACATACGCCACGTATAGTACTGTTATTTAGGCACATACAAAAGAAACGGAAACATACGCCACGTATAATACTGTTATTTAGGCACATACAACAGAAAGGAAAACATACGCCACGTATAGTACTGTTATTTAGGCACATACAACAGAAAGGCAAACATACGACACGCATAATACTGTTATTTAGGCACATACAACAGAAAGGAAAACATACGCCATGTATAATACTGTTATTGAAGCACATACAGAAATAAGGAAAACATACGCCACGTATAGTACTGTTATTTAGGCACATACAACGGAAAGGAAAACATACGACACGCATAATACTGTTATTTAGGCACATACAACAGAAAGGAAAACATACGCCATGTATAATACTGTTATTGAAGCACATACAGAAATAAGGAAGACATACGCCACGTATAGTACTGTTATTTAGGCACATACAAAAGAAACGGAAACATACGACACGCATAATACTGTTATTTAGGCACATACAACAGAACGGGAAATGGCAACAGTCAGTGTCAGGAATCTAAACGTTCAGTTCCTGTAGTTATGCTAATTGAAAACTTACTTTTGAATGCAGTGTGCGGCCGTGAGGACCCAAGTGTCTGCGATGATTACACCTGAACAGGCGGACTTGCCGTCATACGTTATATAAACCTGTGATGCCAGGTTGATTAGTAATCCCATAATACACTGGTATATCCACAATGTGTAATCACTAGGTGTAATGACTGAAACTGTGTATAGAGGGCTGTTCATGGGGGACCTTTTATTACCCACCCGAGTCTAAAAATAGACACACCAGATGTTCACACCATAGATCTCAATATAGACCTGAGACAAAGACGCATCATCTAAAAATAGATACACCTGGTGTCAAAGGTGTCTCATAAATTCAAAATGGACGATTTAGTCCCCAAGTAGCATCCTTACAACACGCAACTCTATTGGTGCAAAGACGCACACGCTTACACGCATATTCACACGCACACAGCTGGAATAGTGTTAAGTTGGGCAACAACAAACAAACAACTAACACAGAAACAAACAACACACTATGTGTCGTATGGCCCGACGTGTATATGTTGTTAACTAGGAAGGAATATATTCAATATATCCCGGAGACTGTGTAAACAAAAACATTACGCATACGGTGTTGGATAACATAGTTATTGGATAACATGGTCTTGATTTACCTAACAGCTTTCACGAGGTAAGATACTTGGATGCTCTTCGTACCCTGTGGTATCCTTCAGCATCCCTACTTACCGTGAGCCGCTAATAGCTGCAATATTGCTGATGCGGTTTAAAGCATCATTCATTCACTCACTCACTCACTCCTTACCGTGGGTTTCACCCCATCCAGTCACAAAGCAGCCCGTGGGGAGTTGGCTACGATGCAGGAGCAAATCGCTCTGACATTGTTGTTGAAGGCAAATTGGCTGTTGATGCGCATCAAAGCTATGTCATTTTTGAGCAGTGACCTTCTGCAAAGTAAAGGTCAACAAGGCATTCGTTAAGCTTTCACATCGCGTGGTAAAGCATTTTATGTCCATAATTGTATCAAGTTCTTTTATAAGTTCCAAACCTGGGTCTAGAATGTGTTGTGTGCTTTTTTCTGTGTAAACGTGCAGTATAAGTTTATATTTAGAACTTTGAAAGTGAACAGCATCAATTAGTATAAATTGTCTTGTAAAGGAATATCCATGAACAGAAGCTGATATCCCCCAAAAGAATATTCAACAATATTACAGCAGAATTCCAGATATGATGGTGGCTGTTTGCAATTGAATCGTGCCTGGACCAAACAATCCAGTGACCAACAGCATGAGCATCGATCAACACAACTGGGATACGATGACATGTTAAGCAACCCTGACTGCCCGATCCCGTTAGGCGCCTCTTACTGCAGATCAATTCTAACCCAGATTCCCGAGGTCCACTGAATATGAACATATATTACCAACATTGAACTCTGGATGGGGTATAATCTTCGCGGACGCTGTAGTATTGTTCTGTACCGTCGTGAGTCTTCGTGTTGTACTCTCCCGCCCTCTCCATGTACCTACCTAGACTTTCCGCACTGTAACACATGGCGGCACACGATCAACACATGCCTTCCTCGTCAATATATTTACATCAAAGAAACAATATTTGCATTCTATACAGTGTTTGAATCATTAGTAGCTGAGTGAATCAGGGATCTTGTGCTCGTTCATTGTTTGTTTGGATATTTGACGATAACTCCTCTACTCTGAATAAAACTTTGTATACGTATACTACAGGTTGTTTGTTTTGAAAATTGGACATAGTCCCTCCATAGCAGCATAACAGCGACCAGCGGCAATCCCGTTGCCATGGCGGCAACAATCCGCGGAGTGTAATGGGTATTATTTTTGCGCGGTGCTTGGCTAAACCACCATTTCTTCTAGCGGCGACTTTTGCAGGATTCTTGGTGGTGACTAGTTGTATCGGTGTGTGTCGTCGTTATTCTTCCATCGGCGTTTCCTCCTCCTGTTGCGCTGCAGTCGTCCAGGATGAACAGCATCGATTCCCCTTTCAGCTTGTCGTGGTAAACCTGCAGCAATTACTGCAGACGAATTACCAGGTCGATTTTGTGCAAGTCGGGTCCGTCATCGCACCGCGGTCTCTCCGGGTACGTCTTGTTCACCCACGTAAAGTGGGGTGGGGAAATATGACCGTATTGGTTGAACACATCCGCGATAGTAACCTTCCAGCATGTACAGCACGAATGCCATCTTGCATCCCGTCTGACCACTACGATGGTGCAGTGGCAATCGCGAGTAAATCAATAAATGGCTTGCACGAATATTCCATTGTCTATATCGAGTTGTGCGTCCATAATCACATACAAATATAAATTTAACTTGCCAGTCAGATTTTGCCCCTTGGAGATTTGGATGGTGATCCCCTCGCTGCCGTTGTCAATGCGGCGCCTGCTGCCGTGTAGTCTGTCATTGTTTGTGGATCCCATGTCCAGCCACAGTGCGTAATGCTTATCCAGGTACTTACTGAGCGTCATGTAGGTGAAACTCAGGTCTTTGGCGTCGTCGTTGACTTCATACGAGTGTGGCTTGATGGCGGTAGTTTTTATCTCGTCCCACTGCTGATGAGCTTTCGCTTGCCTTGGCTGAACAAGGTGGTTGGGCACACCTTCCACTTTCATGATCACCGAGTTCGGGATTCTTCGAAACAGCTCGTACTCTACACCACGGGAATGATCAAGATGCCTTTCATCGATCGAGGCGTCACGTTCAAGTTGATGTTCCACAACATGTTGCTCTTGTACGGTGTCGCAACACATGGTCGTACAGGATGGGACAGCTTTCCCGAGTACTGTTGGTGAATATGCTGGGACAGTTCCGTACTCATGACCATGTCGAACTCCACCGAGATGTTGTCGACGACGTAGCTGGCCTTGGTGCCGTCCTGCATGAAGGTAACTTTGCCGTAGTCATTGAACATGAGTTCGTATTCCAGCCGGTCTCCCAGCGCGGCTTGGTAAAATGGCATGTGCCCCTCGAGCAGCTCGAAGCGGTATGCAATTCCTGTATGCCTCGGCAACAGCTTTTTCTCCTGCTGTTATATTGCCGAGCTGGTCTTGCGTGAAACCAAACCCCACATGGATTTCATTCATTACATCGTTATTCGAAGTCGTTGATACGCCATGTCATTGCGTTTGTTTGAGGTTCTCCAGAGGTCCGTGTAACAGTAAAACACGTCACTGCTGACCTCGTTCCAGCTGATTTTGATGGTGGATTTCTTGACGATGGTGCGACCTAGGTTGCGCACGATTGTGCGTTTGTCGTTCCTCGACTCCAACGTGATGTAAAAAGCCAGTCGAGCCGTGCAAGGGATGATGACATCGTTCTCACCCGGGTTGCGGAATCGAACCAGCAGCATTTAGTTTTGATAGATTGTGCTCGGATTGCTGGTGATCGTCACCGACTGACGCACTTCTTTGACACCGAGCAGCTCTCCCGATCTTCGGAAAGTTTTATAATATAAAAAAATGTCTGACGATATTCCCATGGACAATTTCAACGTACACCAGCTGAGCGACAATGATGCAGCAGCCTTTGACGAAATTACCTCGTTCATGGGTGACACTGTATTGCAACGAAGCAGGCTGTGGACGAGTATTACAATGCTTTAAAGCACAAAACAATTACGTTGAACCATTGTGTGCGACTATCCTAAGTTCAAATCGATGCGAGAAGGACGCTGTGATTAAAAGCTATATTTGTATACATATCTACTTTTCAATATGTACATGGCGCTTCCGGGAATCACGAAGCGTCGAGTCCGTTCAACTGCTGCATGTGATCGATAACCGCGTCCGGTCAGCAGAAGGTGCGGCTCTCGCGACAACACCTACTACCAGCGATGGATCAACATCAGCGGCAGAAACAACAGGCTGTTAAGTCAATAGCGCCCGCAGCCAAATAATGGGCGGCTACTACAGCGTGTGCTCGCTCAGCGAAGAAATCTTCAAACCTGTGGGAGCTGAACTAAAAATGAAGACTCGAACAACGGGTCGTGTTAGCCAACAACGGAAAAAACGACTTGAGACTAAAAACGACTTACAACCAGAAAACACGTGACCAACTGCGACATTACCGATCTCATTCCGCTTTTCTGCAAACTGTGCATTCATCTCGATCAGCTGAGCACGACGGACAACCTTCAAGGCGAGCGACCTTCCACACTGCTGAGAGCCATGCCCGGTGAATCGAGGAAAAGAAGTACAACGGCAGCAGGAACCGAATCGTTTTCATCGGCGGCAGTACAAGAAGAAATTAATCGAGGCAACATCACGGAATTGTAGAATTTCGGTTTTAGACGTTAAACACGATCCCATAAGTACAAGATATATGCAGTCGCGGCGGTCCATGGTCAGGAACACAGCGTTCTAAAATGCGCCAATATAGCGATCTCCGACCTTAGGAAAATCAGGGATTGATGAACCGAGTCGATGGCAAACTGTACACCTTGCAACTGATACTTTACAAACGCATCAAACTGCCACCCTCTACTGCCGCCGGTGCTGGTGGCAAGAACAAGGACCTAGGCGATTTAAATTTCGATACGGAAGGAGCAGTCAACAACACTTGGTACAACCTGATGCGCGAGCGACGAGGACGAATGGGCGATAACCTCAGCCTTCTGCGGTAGGCTGTTGCACCTGGACGAAGTCGAGACCACGACCGTCTCCAGAAACACGCTGTAGACTCTCATTTTCAACGACGACAACAAATGGGTATTAGTGCCATCCCAAATCGACTGGAATCTCAACATCACGCTCGACTCTCCCCACGTTTTCACAGACAACAAAGATCACTACCTGACGAAAGTCGTGAACAACGGAACGCTGCTCGTGGCTTACGTCCCTAGGCAAAGACGCAGCGTGATCGTCAGCTCGTTGAGGCAAAGAGTAGCCCACATGCTGTCAAGCAAACCCGGGATGCAAAACGTGGGATTGCAGATGGTGTCCGAATTCGACAGCATAGTAGACGTCCTAGAATATCTGCCGGCGAAATCCACGCTATACATCCAAGTTTACCTTGGCGAACCACCGTCGGTGCGTAACGTCATTGAAATCGTGAAAGGGATCAAACTCCGATCAAACAACAATACCAAGTTTGCTCTGTTTACGTGCAGGTGAACGTTAATGCCTACACCAGTCTGCAGGGAGTCACCGTGACCGTTGAAGACACAATATCGCTTACAGAAATTTTCTTACTCAACAACATTCATCTCATGGGTTTGAAGTGCACGTCCGAGGAATTATCCGATAACCAATTGAAAACCATTTCGTAATACATTATATATAAACGAGATGAACCATCATCCCAATGTAATGCTAGCTGATCTCGGAGACACAAGGGGATTCGATCTGCCCCGCGAGGAAAACACCTTGTACGCCATGCGCTTACAAGATAATGTGTACAAACAACGAGAAGTCATCATCGAATCTCAGTTGACCTGGATTATTAACCTGGTCCTGACCTACCCCTATCTTATCATGGATAATAATGCTGGTGGCGTCTCGATAAAAAATAACGGGATTCTGCTGGGAAGGTTTGATCCTGGAAGAAGAACATGGATAAGCATAGTGCCATTACCAGATAAAACGGCTAACATGTTAGTCCCCAATGAGAAAAAAGCAGCGTTATTTTTACTAAAATATACTGATGTGCCAGACTCGTGGATCAGTATGATACAAGATTCTACTCTTATTATCGAAGTATTTCTTGGAGATGCCCCCAGAGTAGATATAACCTTCTGCATGGGTTAAAATACGCTGGCATGATCGCCATCAACAAAAACGTTGTCGTATTTGTATACAACCAGAACCCCCACCACAAACCTAGATATTATAATATTTCAAAAGGATTTTATTGAACTCCAGACCATTTATATATGCGAAAACTTGTACCTCATCAGCTTAAAGTATATTCATCAAAAATTGACTGAGGACCAATTCAATACTGTTTTATATGAAGAGTATATATACAGAATTTGACTGTACACGGTCGTCAATGAAATGACGAAAACACTGGAAACCGTAGACGGGTCTCTTTTGAGACAGATATGCGAGATCAAACAACAACTAGAACGTGAACCCAATATGCGGTCGGCATTACAAAAAAGATATCACAGGGCCATCAATTCCGTGGACGGTGTTGACAGCGCTTTGATTTCAGTCAGCATGGGATTAGGCGTAGCAGGTGTCGGGCTATTATCCACCATCGTGGCCACACCCATGGTGCTAGGCATCGAAATAACACCCGGAGTAACAGGGTTGATGGGATTGGCGCTTAAGTTCGTGTCTCGCAGACTGAAACGTAAAGCATTGAAAGACGACGAAATTAGAATTCTAGCCAAAGCGAAGTTAAACACGATAGATGATCATATTTCCACCGCGCTCACCGACTCTAAAGTCTCCGAGGAAGAGATTCGTTGCGTACTATCAGAAATCGCAAAATAACACAGAATGAAACAAGACATTCTGACCAAATCTTGCAAAAACGCCGTCATTTGCGAAGACGAGAAAAAAATTCATTGAACAAGGGAAGCAACAGGCCCGAAAAGCCTTCATTGCGAAAACCAAACAAATCATAGGAGATTTACAATAAACTGTTTCGCGGACATCAACATAACGTAGCCAGCCATCTCAGCGAGCTGTAGGTAAATAGCCGAGCCGAATCACACACACACACACTGCGACTCACCCACAGCACTCTCTCAATGCTACCGACACGGCAGCGTGTCGACCAAGGGAAACTGCCGAGAGATGTGGGTATGATTTGGTGGAAATCAACATAACGTTGCCAGCCAGTCAGCTGTACAAGCCGAAGACGCTGGAGCCACACACCGCGACTCGCCAACAGCGCTCGGTCGGGGATACCGAGACGACGACCCGGGGGAAAACTGCTGAAAGATGCGTTTCATTCCCTCTCAGACATCTGTAGCCTCTCTAGGCAGCCAGACGTGCATCATCATCATAGCCGAGCCGAGAGACACACACACACACACTTATACTCGTCCACGGCGCTCGCTCAAAGCAACCCCCGAGACGGTAGCGTGATGATGACTTCCGAGACCTGAGTTTCATTCAGCTAAAAACACCTCTCGCCTTGATAAATAACAAGTAGGACAATACGTTGGATTGTTAGCCTTTCGCCAGACCGACCCCGTGCTCACTAAAAAGTGATAATTTCCTAAACTATTTAACCGATTTTCGTTACATTTTGCATGCATTTCGGCAGATGGTTACGCTATAGCAACACGGCATTGGGAACACTCTCGATGACTTCATTAGATTAATTAAGACTTACTTACGACAAAAAGTTGGACATTTTGCCTTTTCCGACCGACCCCATGTTCACTTAAAAGTCAATATTTCAGAAACTATTTGACCGATTTTCATCAAATTTTGCATGCTCCTCAGTAGTAGTATACACAATGGGACTACGGGATTAGGGACTCCTCAAGGGTTCAATTTAAAAATCCTGGTCCCGTAGCCCCATTGTGTATACTACTAACGTTGTAGATGGAAAAAGTGTCTTGACTTCCCTCTTTGTCTTCTTATATAAACCTGTGAACCTGAAAAGCACATATAAGTGTGTATAGTTGTGGCGTTGTAGATGGAGAAAGTGTATAGACATCCCTCTGTGTCTTGATATATAAACCTGTGAACTGGACAATGACATATACGTGTCAACAGTGGTAGCCTATAGGTGGAGAAAGTGTCTTGACATCCTGACATGAGAATACGAACTAAGGGACGCAACTCTGCCTGGCGAAGTGCATTGTGTACGACTATCCGTTTCAAAGGTGTGTCCACCCCCAGGAGCACCTGACAATATAATAGCAGGTGACGTAAAGAACGAGTACTCATATCACTTCTAAGTCAGGACAAACAATTAGTTCAGCATCTACTTCTCCCCACAGCTAGCACCTGTAGGTTGTACACATATCACTTCTAAGTCAGGACAAACAATTAGTTCAGCATCTGCTTCTCCCCAACAGTTAACATCTGTGGTTTGTACACATATCACCAGTCAACCCACCTACCAAGGCCACTCCCCCGGTGCAGACCGCGACCTTCCTACGATTCTTCTTCCAAGGATACCCCCGCCAAACGCACGGGTTCCGCATTATGCTAAGGGAGATAACTTTGGTAAGACACTCCATTTGTACATATGTAAAGCATTGCACTCAAGATATATTTTTTCATTAAATTTCTCATACAGGTTTAAGTAAAAGTAGAAAATAAATCAGACGAACCCATATGAATAACTTACATGGGTGGCTATATTGGATGGCTTGTGTTGGTTTCGGAGCTGGTGCATCTGTAGCGGAGAAAAACATGCGGTGAGTGACTGATGAAGCCCTTCATCACCAAGGAAGAAAACGAGCATGCTTTACATCAAAAGTCGGGGTGTAAGATGAACGTTGATTCTGTGGACTTTGCTGTTGCTCGCATTGGGCTGTTACTGTTGTAACACCCTTCATTATCCATCAAAGCTTCACGGATTCACGTTTGATGGATTTTATTGAATTTGGAGGTAGTCATGGAACCAGTTTAGGCCTACTGGAAATGTCAAATAAATTTATGGAAAACTTTGAAAGATTGGTATGAGAATTATAGAACGTGTCCTGCCTTCTGAAATACACTTCATGTACAAGTCGATGACTGCGCATGTCCAAAGATTTAATTTGTACTTATAAATGTGCCGCAAGTCACAAACCAGCCTGTTCACAAACCACAACTATATTCTGAATTTGCAGCGATGGATGTAGACAGACGGATGGATAATTTCTTGTTCAGTTGCAATTTCTGTTGCTGAGGCATTAATTGTGTAATCTACTGTATGAAAAAAACAAACCTTTACCTCATCTCTTGTCAGTATGTTATTTCCTGCCAAAGATAGTAATGTCTGTTTTGTTGGATCATGCATTCTCAGAAGAAACCACAGTTTCTTTCAGATTCTGAATAAAGGTCAACTGGCTCAGATCACGGTGGGCCTTCCCTTTTTCCCTGGACAAGTTTGGAAAGTTTTGTTTTTTTATCAGAATACTCAACTTTATCCTCATACATTTTGATCTGGATGACACTTATGTCATGGAAGTTGGTTGAACAAGCACGCCATTAACACGATGTAATGTCCACTGATCCACTCAGTACTTCCTCCTCCCTGTTAGCAAAATCAAGTGCTTTTGAAACAGACTAAGGCTAGCTTTTCTATCTTGTCAGTGGACAGCGCTGTGTCAGTCTCCTCTATTGTATGAGCAAGGGCCTCCCAAGTATAGTAATAATTAATAGTCATAATTATAGTTTTAATTACATTACAGTTATAGTTGTGGTTGTGGTTGTGGTTGTGGTTGTGGTTGTGGTTGTGGTTGTGGTTGTAGTTATAGTTCTGATCAGTTCAGCATTACCTGTTAGAGGTTTCATTACCTATGGAAGTAAATTGTACTTTATTGTTATTACGGAAACCATCAATATCCTGAGCAATAGGCGATGTGAGTTGTCTCTTTGCCACCAAGTAAGAGATTTAAAACGCAATGGGTAAAAAACTCAATATGTTAAACCACATTTGAAACAGATGCATTGTATTTAACTAACAAAATACTGAAGTTTCAAATATGGGGGAGGAATAACTTTGTGATTCAATATAAGAAAGTCAACTTAATGCGATGAAAACACTGTTTGTCCTGTTAATATTTTAATTTATTTGAGTAATATCTGCAAAATTAAATTCTTCTTTAAACTAAAATGCAGACAATTCATGACACATAGAGTTAACAGGAGGAAACGTGTAAATTTGGAACAAGCGTTATGCAAATGAAACATATTTTGCAGTGTTTTTCTGTGAGCTGTAATTATTGGCAATGGCATGAAAATAAAACACACAGCTGTTATCAGTCACAATTTGTTAATGCTGTGTAAATAATTAGATTACACTGACAATTTTGTAATATCTCTTTAAAATGAAACAAAACAGAAAGACTGCTTTTTAACGTAATTTGCTGAAAGTGAAACGTTGTGCGAATAACAACTACATCAACCTTGTTGACACGTTGTGAACATGTAAACTATAAGGAACTTGCAGAAATGAAAACTATTGATTTGTATTAAGGCACTATTTTGACTGTATTCGTCACGTCTTCCTTTTAATTTAACAAAACAGGATATAACACATGTCATAATAATGAATACATTACACGTGTCATGATACTTGTGAACACACATTTAGCAGTACACAAAACATACGTTTTGAGCAAAAAGATATTTCCAATTCCAAAAGATATATTACCATGTGGTGTGTTTAAGCATATGTAAAAGGGGGTCACCTGTTGTGACGTGTGTCACGGGATGTTGTCTCACACAACACAGGTGGGTGTGGCCGTGTTGGCGATGACAGTAGCCGGACCAAAATATATGTTGACAACCGTCGTGATCAGGGGAACAGGTTCCACCGTGTTGTCGACAGTCATCTAGAATCAGGTGCAGTTATTGATATTTCTCATTTATTATCTTGTTTTGTTTGTTTGTTGGTAAACGTCGCACTATTTGAGCCATAGGACGACAATCTGTAAATAATCCTGCCTGAACCAGACAGTCCAGTGACAGACATCATGAACGTCGATCTGCGCATTTGGAATACCATGCCTTGCATCAGCCAAGTCAGCAAGGCTGACCACTCGGTCCCGTTTGTCTTCAAGGATGGGATGCTGAAGACGAGGGCCTTCTCGGGATCATTATTAGGTATGCATACGTAATCAGTGGACATTTTCAGGGTAAGAAGACCTTTGACCACAGACACCACAACAATCACAGATTCACCTGCATATTTACAATCACAGATTCACAACTGCATATTTGCCTGCATATTGATCACACAGAGACACCACAACAATCACAGATTCACCTGCATGTTTACCTTTGATCACACAGATACCACAACTATCACAGATTCATCTGCATGTTTACCTTTGATTACAGACACCACAACAATCACAGATTCACCTGCATGTTTACCTTTGACCACACAGACACCACAACAATCACAGATTCATCTGCATGTTTACCTTTGACCACACAGATACCACAACAATCACAGATTCATCTGCATATTTACCTTTGATTACAGACACCACAACAATCACAGATTTACCTGCATGTTTACCTTTGACCACACAGACACCACAACAATCACAGTTTCACCTGCATATTTGCCTTTGATCACACAAACACCACAACAATCACAGATTCACCTGCATGTTTACCTTTGACCACACAAGCACCACAACAATCACATATTCACCTGCGTATTTGCCTTTTGATCAAACAAACATCACAACAATCACAGATTCACCTGTATGTTTACCTTTGACCACACAGAAGCACCACAACAATCACATATTCACCTGCATATTACCTTTGATCCACACAAACACCACAACAATCACAGATTCACCTGCATGTTTACCTTTGACCACACAAGCACCACAACAATCACATAGATTCACCTGCATATTTACCTTTGATCACACAAACACCACAGCAATCACATATTCACCTGCATATTTACCTTTGATCACACAAACACCACAACAATCACAGATTCATCTGCATGTTTACCTTTGATCACACAGACACCAGAACAATCACAGATCTCACCTGCATGTTCACTCTTTTGATCACACACAAACACCACTCCTGCTTCACACATTTTATCATCATGTTTACCTTTCATCACACAATCACACAAACACCATAATAATACCAGATTCACCTGCATGTTTTACCACACAAACACCATAACAGACTTTGACCCACAGACACATAACAATCACAGATTCACCTGCATGTTTACCTTTGACCACATAAACACCACAACACTCACAGATTCACCTGCATGTTTGCAACTGATCACACAAACATACAACAATCACAGATTCTGCCGGTGCTGGTCAGCGCGATGCGACTCCGCTGCTGGATTCGCCTGTTTTTGCACAGACACGTAGGCATTTGAATTAAATTGCTGCAGTTGGGCGTTAGCACGTTACAGGCGAATGCGGATTACTGCATGTTCCTTGTCACGGAACGCTCACGGTTGCCATGTTTGCCCGGTAAACGCAACGATGCGCGTGCGTTTTCGCGCGCTTTTCAAGGCCGGCAATCACAGATTCACCTGCATGTTTACCTTTGACCACACAAAACACCACAACACTCTCACAGATTCGCCTTAGCATTGTTTACCTTTTACTCACACAAACACCGCAACGATCACAGATCTCCATTCCTGCATGTTCTGCTTTGACCACACAAATACCACAACACTCACAGATTCACCTGCATGTTTACCGTTGATCACACAAGCACCACAACAATCACAGACTCACCTGCCAGTTAATCCCAGATCACGCAAACACAGCTACATAAACAGTTTATAAACATAAGTGGGCAGTAGGGTAGCTAAGTGGTTAAAGAGTTCGCTCGTCACGCCGAAAACCCGGGTTCAATTCTTCACATGGGTACAATGTGTAAAGCCCATTTCTGGTGTCCCCCGCCGTAATATGCTTAAATATTGCTAGAAGCATCGAAAAACCCAATTCACTCACTCACTCAGTCACTCACTCACTAACCTCACCTACAACGTGTATCCCGACCACACAAGCAAGAGTACATAACAAGCCTCACCTACAGCGTGTCTCCCGACCACACAAGCAAGAGTACATACCACCAACCAAACTCCATATACGGGGTGTCCCCCGACAAGCAAGAGTACATAACCAGCCTCACTCTACAGCGTGTCTCCCGACCACACAAGCAAGAGTACATAACCAGCCTCACCTGCAGGTGTCTCCCGACCACACAAGCAAGAGTACATAACCAGCCTCACCTGCAGGGTGTCTCCCGACCACACAAGCAAGAGTACATAACCAGCCTCACTCTACAGGGTGTCTCCCCTGACCACACAGCAAGAGTACATAACCAGCCTTACCTACAGGGTGCGTCTCCTGACCACACAAGCAAGAGTATATAACCAGCCTTTTACCTACAGCGTGTCTCCCGACCACACAAGCAAGAGTACATAACCAGCCTCACCTACAACGTGTCTCCCGACCACACAAGCAAGGGTACATAACCAGCCTCAGCTGCAGGGTGTCCCCTGACCACAAAAGCAAGAGTACGCAACTAGCCTCACTTACCACAGGGGTGTCCCCCTGACCATACAAGCAAGAGTACATAACCAGCCTTGCTTACTACGAAGTGTCTCCCGACCACACACAAGCAGTATATATAACCAGCTCCACTCTACAACGTGTCTCCTGACCACACAAGCAAGAATACATAGCCAGCCTGCACCTACAGGCATTCTACTGACCACACAAGCAAGAGTACATAACCGGCCTCACCTACAACGTGTCCCTGACCACACAAGCAAGAATTACGCCAACCAGCCTCACCTGGCGTGTCTCCTGACCACACGAAGCAAGAGTACGCTAACTAGCCTCACCTTCAGGGTGTGTCTCCAGACCACACAAGCAAGAGTACATAACCAGCCTCACTCTACAGGGTGTCTCCCGACCACGCAAGCAAGAGTACATAACCAGCCTCACCTACAGCGTGTATCCCCTGACCACACAAGCAAGAGTATATAACAAGCCTCACCTACAGGGTGTGTCTCCCTGACCACACAAGCAAGGTACATAACCAGCCTCACCTACAGGGTGTCTCCCTGACCACACAAGCAAGGAGTACATAACCAGCCTCACCTACAGCGTGTCTCCCTGACCACTGAAAGCAAGAGTACATAACCAGCTCACTCCACCACAGCGTGTCTCCCGACCACACAAGCAAGGGTACATAGCCAGCCTCACCTGCAGGGTCCCCGACCACAAAAGGAAGAGGTACATAACTTGCCTCACCTACAGCGTGTCCCCCGACCACACAAGCAAGAGTATATAACCAGCCTCACCTACAACGTGTCCCCCGACCACACAAGCAAGAGTACCTAACCAGCCTCACCTACAACGTGTCCCCCGACCACACAAGCAAGAGTACATAACCAGCCTTACCTACAGCGTGTCTCCCGACCACCAACAGTGAACCAGGTAGGACCACCACACAAGAAGTAGTAGCTTCTGCCATACTGTCAGATAAAGTGTTTGACCTCATCCACTTTGTGGTTGACAACATGTAGATAAGGACTCACCGCTTTGTCCTTGAGTGAAGTCCGAACAGCTTCAAATACATTTCTGTATTAACAGTACAAGTACGATCCTGATTTAATGTTGGGAGCATGAGTGATCTCATCGTAATGATGAGGTAAATGGCGTCTTGAAGTGAAGCCAGGACCGCCGTTGAAGTTACTTGTTTTTCAATACTAATCAACTTCACATCGCGTTGCTCCTGCATTAAACTGATACAACCCTCTCCCTTCTCTCTCTCTCCTCTCTCTCCCTCTCCCTCTCTCTCCCCCTCTCCCCCTCCCTCTCTCTCTCACTCACACACACAGAGACACACACATATATCCATATCGACACACATACAACATACACACACGCACGCACACACACACACACACACACACAAAATAAAAAATATCTGCTTACCTCAAAGTTTAAGACTCTAAGCGGAATGCCCCATAATGTATTTACGAAGCTCTATGACACCATAGTGTTTCAGTTATAAGTTATGGAATACTACATGTATCAACGCAGTTCATCATAGAGCAATTAGATTGTTCCTAGGTCTAGGTAAATATGCACCCAACGCAGCTTTAAACGGAGAACGGCTGCCCCCAAAGTGAGGAATTGGACATCTATGCTAAGACATTGGATGAGATGCGTTAATACCACAAGCAGAAGATTGAATAAGAGGATATTTGTAATGGCGAACAATAGCAAAAAGAAAAATTAGAATTTTAAAGTCAGAACCCATCTTGTATCCCTTTGAAGTATGATATGCGCACATAACACGCAGTTAGTGACTGATACTAAAGCTTTCCAAGAACATACGCCTGTCTCCCTGCTGGGGAGTATCGGTGAAGTAAGCTAGTTTGTTATTACTGCCCACTTGTGGATCAACAGCACATTGAATGAACGTGCAAGAAGCAATGTATACGGCATACAGACACGGATGGAGAGAGAGATGAATGAAGAAGGGGGAAGACGAGGAGGAAACAAATTGAGAAACTATACACTTTTTAAAACAAAATATGAAACAGAACAGTATGTTAAGTGTCCGCTTCTCCGAGGTCACAGAAGTTCTTTAGCAAAGTTCAGATGTGGAGTGGCCCCAATAAGAGTTGAAACGGGAAATATGAAAATATACCGCACAACGAGAGATTTTGTTTTAATTGCCAAAATGTAGTCAAGGATGAAATCCATGTTTTATTTTTATGTCCAGCTTTCAACTATATCAGAAAAGATCTTATAACACGTCACAATTTAATTCTGAACTCACAAAAGTCCAGTAACT